GGGGGCGGAGACACAACATGAAAAAAGGCCCAAACCCCTCAAGTCCAGAGTGAACACAGAGACTGTTTTAAAAGATATTTACGGGGCGCTGGTGGCGCAGTGGTTGGTGCGCGCGCCCCATGTATGGAGGCTGTCGTCTCAAGCGAGCGGCCCGGGTTCACCCCCCACCTGTGGCTTCCTTCCCGCATGTCATTCCCAACTCTCTCTCTCTCCCTGATTTCCGACTCTATCCACTGTCCTGTATCCATTAAAGGCACAAAAAATAAATCTTAAAAAAAAAAAAAAGAAGATATTTACAATAATGTACGTGTGAATCTTTGACAAACATCACAAACAACAACCAACTGAAGCTTCCTAAGAACATTACATTTTTCTTAGCCGATAAATTAGCAAGCTAGCACAAGCTAACAGTTAAGTGTTGTAATACTCGAAAACGGTCTCTAGACCAACTTTTGAAGGTCTCGGTCTTGTCTCGGAATCAAAGCATTTTTACTCTGTCTTATCTCGATCTCAGACTGGGCAGACTCCAGATTATATATTAAATAAGCTGCTGTCTCCACCTTTAATCGAGCAGATACGAGAACATGATTTATAAACAATCAAAAAGATTTGAAAAGTATAAGAACGAAGTGGGTCGCTCTTTGCTAACGGCTTGTTATTCTTCCTCCAGGCCGTTCCTGCTCCTCCCTCCTCTCATGGAGTGGATCAGAGTCGCCGTGGTGCACGCTGAACATCGCCGCAGCCTATTGGTGGACAGTGACGATGTCAGACAGACCGCCAGGCAGCTCCTCCCAGGACTGGACTGTGAGCCCAGACAGCTGAGGTACGGCGCCAATGAGCAGATCCAAAGCTTCCTGTCGCTGACACAGCGTAGGGCCAGGTTCATGTTTCAGTGTCGGTGTCTCTGCAGGTCGGCGTGCTGTTTCCAGTCGCTGAAGTGTTTGGACGCAGAAGCTGCTTCTGCAAAGTTCCAGCTCGATCTGGGCTTCCGGATGCTCTCGTGTGGTCGAGCCGATCTGGTCCATCAGGCCGCTCAGCTTCTGGGAGCCGAGGGGGTGAACGCCTCAGACGACCAGGTGAGGGGGAGAGAGAAGTCAGGGAGTGAAGTCTAAGCTTTGAACCCTAACCCTCATACAAACGCTGAAACAAAACTTCTTTAATTTTACCAAAACGATGCAGCCAGCAATCTTCTCGCTGTGAGGCAGCAGCGCCATTTGATGATGTTCCAGACAGTAATTAAACTTTTGGGCACTAGAAAGAATAAACAGTTCCTCTGTAGGCCACTAGATGGTGCTGAGTTTGCATCAAAGATGAAAAGAGGGCACAAACAGAGATGGTAGAAAAATCTTTTTGGTTTAGTGAGTGAAGCGGCTGCATCACTTTAATGTTCAAGCTTCCTTCATTCAAATACTAAAAAGAAAGCAGGCGTGTGATTATCTGTGTGAGCTGATACATTTATGACCGTGTGTGTGTGTGTGTGTTGTTTCAGGGGATGACTCCACTGATGTACGCCTCTGCAGCCGGAGATGAAGCTCTGGTTCAGATGCTCATAGAGGCCGGAGCTCACCTGGACCTGCAGGTAAAAGTTTGAACCTCTTGTAGGTTTTATTTCAGCACCAAAGAGGAAGCTTGATCAGTTATCCTCCAAACCACTGCAGTACTTCATCTGTGTGTGTGTGTGTGTGTGTGTGTGTTTGTATTAAGGTCCCGGGCTGCTCTTCCAGACACCCGTCGCTTCACCCCGGCAGTCGTCGCTGGGTGGCTCTGACCTTCGCTGTGCTGCACAGTCACCTGTCTGTGGCTCAGGTGAGAGCGCCTCCCTGTGTTCACATCAGCTGTAGGACACACTGAGGGATTAAAGACGTGAATGTTTATTCCATGAAGGCGTGCGTTCAGCAGAAACACTCTCAGCTTGCTTCATTTGAAGATCACGGAAACAACTTTTTCTCCTTTTCTTCTTTGATATCTTCGACATGTTGTGCGCGACTTATCTCTGGTCAACCTTTGTGAAGTTAGAACTCGTTAAACATAAATAAGTTAAACGAGTCAGGCAGAGAAAACACGACTGAAAACATGGAAGCTTAGCCCATAAGAGATGATTTCTGTTTAGCTCGTATCCACCTTTATCAAAACAGAATCAATAATAGTTTAACCTTTCAGATCAGGAGATGTGCTTGTTCGCCGCTGCCTCGTTTGGTTCCTTTGCATGTTTTATTGTTTGTTTGTTTCATCACATTATTTGCAACACAAACAAACCAAAGGTGGAGGCACCAGTAGACCTGCAGCTCCCATGTTCTATGACATGAGATTACAAAGTTTCAAAGCTGCTGGATGAAGCAATCAACTTGAGAAGCCCCAAAAGTGTGTGTGTTTTAGTCCTTTAGATCCAAATAACATGTAAAAATGGTGGATTAACCTTTAGTTCCACGTCCAGCAGGTGTAGTTTAAATATTCTGCACGGTGAGGTAGAGGGAGCTTGAAGGTAGCAGGTCAGTTTAATCAAACGTTTCTCTAAACGTGTCGTCTCCTCGTGCTGACAGCTGCTGTTGGAGGCCGGAGCAGATGTGGAGGGAGGAGCTCTGCTGGACGGTCAGGAGAGCTCGGCCGAGACGCCGCTGCAGCTCGCCGCTGCTGCAGGTACGCTGCGTGTTCAACCACTTCGTGTCTGAGATCAACCTATAAAAACCCTTCACGTTCTCCACATTAGTATCCGGTTCTGAATGTTTGAAAGGCCAACATTGTCTGAACTTGTTTCGTCCTCTCAGGTCACTACGAGATGGTGAGCCTGCTGCTCACCCACGGAGCAGACCCTCTGCTCAGAGTGCATCATGGGAATTCACTGATGTCTCCGCTGTACGAGGACATGAACTGCTTCAGCTACGCCGCAGCACATGGACACAGGTGAGACGTTCATCAGACGTTTATCTGCAGCAACGCTAAGGTCGTCAAAATGTCCAAAACTTGTAATTCTTATCTTGACCACATGTTTGAAAACGAATGATCTCCGTTATTTTAATAATCCATTGAACCAAAAAGTACCAAAGATTTAAAGTAGGGACATACTAACATGTGTCTCTACTCTGTCTACAAACCCCCCATTGATGAGAAAAGTCCATCCTCTCCGTCTTTTGCCTGCTCCATTTTTCAGAAAATGTGTGCTCAAACAGGCCATTTGGAGAGTTTCCCTTCATGACATCACAAAGGGCAGTAGCCCCTCCCCCAGGTGGGTGACACTCCCACAGCTAGGTGTTTGTTCTGCCCTCTGAGTCTGCCTTCTCACCGTCAACAATAGGACATGGAGCGAGAAAGCCCGAGTACACCCAAGCCCTTCCAGAGAGGGGGCGTGGTCAGACACAGCTCATTTACATATTTAAAGGTACAGACACAGAAACAGCCTGTTCTGAGCAGGGCTGAAATAGAGGAGTTTATAGACATGATCAAATACAGGATCAGAGTGGATTTAGAACAAGAAACTTCACACACATGTTTTGAGGAGCTATGAGGAGAATATGTGACCTTTAACGTTTTGAAAACATTTTTTGATGAGACAGAGATGGACCTTTTCTCAAGCTTCAGACTCCATTGATAAAAACTCAAACATGTTCTCGTCTCCTTCAGGAACATCCTGAGGCGGCTTCTGCTGCAGCCGCAGCCCAGGAAGGAGGACATCCTGTCTCTGGAGGAGATCCTGGCTGAAGGAGTAGAGGAGGACTGTGGAGAAGAAACCGGAGCTCCTGAAACACAGAGTCCAGTCCCCCGGCTGTGTAAGGCGCGGATGAAAGCCCTGCAGCAGGCGGCGTACTACAGCGCAGAGCACGGTTACCTGGATGTAACCCTGGAGCTCAGAGAGATGGGTGAGCTCATGATCAACTTAAAATTATTTCTTAATGATGGAAACTTGTCCGCGTGTTTAATTCAATTGATACATAAGTTTAATTAAAGTCAACCTATTTTGAAAAGCTGGAGAAGGGTATTATATGTCCTTCTATCTGGATCACATGCTTTGTTTCCTGTTTCCTGTGGCGTGCAGGTGTTCCCTGGAGGCTCCACACCTGGCTGCAGAGTCTGCAGAGAGCCGAGCAGCTGAGCAGGGACAGAGTCATCGTCTCGCTCCTCTCAGAGTTCTCCTCCATCAGGACGGACGATTACGGCCCCGAGCTCCTCTCGTCAGGCGTACCGCTCATGTTCAGCATGCTGGAAACCAGTAAGGTACAGCGGCACACCTGTCCGTCATCATGAACGTCATCTTCTTCTGAACAATATACAAAGACCACAACGACCTCTCTGTGTGTTCTCACACTAAATCACGGGGAACAAACGCCACCACCCCTCCATCTCACTCGTCACAGGTTTTTATGTTTTAAATCCTGTTTTTTTCTTTCTGCAGGATTACGTGATAACGAAGCGTCTGGCGTCCGTGTTCTCCCTCTGTTACGGCGTCTCTCCCGTTCCTCCGATCCCTCCGCTGGACGTCACTCTGTCCACGCAGCTCGGTAACACATCGCCTCTCTCATACCACGACCAATTAACCCTTCGTTTGTTATGATTGTGGTGCATTTTAAGAATAACACACCTGGTCTCCGTCCTCAGATATTCAGTTCCTGAACAACCCGGAGATGTCCGACGTGACCTTCATGGTGGACGGGCGTCCGTTCTTCGCTCACCGGGTGCTGCTGATGTCGGCGTCTGAACGGTCTGATCTTTGTTCTCTCGCTTAACAAAAAACAAGCTGCACGTGATTATTAAACTAATAATACAAATAAATAAAATGTTATATACTGATCGTACATTTGAGTAAACTTAGTAGATATAACAAACTCTCTCTTCTCTTCTTCTGATGTTTCATCTGTTCAGGTTTCGACAGATGCTCTGCGATTCCCCCGATGACATCATCTACATCAGTCACATGACCTACAGCACGTTCCAGGTGAGACTCACGTTTACCTGCTTCCAGCTTCAAATGGATGTCGGGCTTTCTTTGTGCACCCCTGAAGTGTTTTTATCTCTCTCTGTAGACGATGATGACGTCTCTGTACTGTGGAGGAACAGAGGGGCTGACTGTGTCTCCGTCTGAGGCCGTGCAGGTAAAGTCACTCACCTGCTCACCTTTGCTCACACCACTAACATGTAAGGTGTTGTTCCAGCTGAGATTGTCCCAACGTAAGCAGATGTTGCACTGAAAGTCCTCTGTAAACTGCGGTTGTCATGGTGATGGTGATAGAAAGGTGGGATGTCTTGGAGGATGAGTGTTGTATGACGCAGCAGTGACGTCGGTCGTCCAATCAGGCGTCTCTGCTCGTCAACATAGTGGGAGAGTAACTGTGTGTGTGTGAGCATGTAAAAAGTCCAGTTAGCATCGTTAGCACCAACTAACTAACCACTAATGGAGGAGAAACTGGCGCTCAGCGTGACGTTACAAGAACAACAATCTGTTTTCCCGTCTACACAGAAACACCTTAAACAGAGTTTCTGATCAACTTCACCCTGGAAGGAGTTTTCAGTGACCTGAAACACAGTTTGTGTACGAAAGGTCAAAACACTTGACGCAACGTTTTCAAAAAACTTGCCTACATGTGGGCAAGGCCTTGAACCCGGGCCGCCCGCTTTGAGGACAGCAGCCTCCGTCCTCACAAAGGGCGGACCTCTAGTTCATCTGTGCCCAGATTACATCTTATAAACAAATAAAAGGATTAAGTTGTATGTTTAGTTTCTGATATATTGTAATGAAAAAGGAATTTATGAAAATGTGCACGTAAGAGGTCCTCTATATAACCACTATATGGAGGTCGTTGTTATGGCAACGTATGTACACCTCTGGTATTGGGACATAAAGCAAATTAGAGAAACATAAAAATTAAATCACGAAGTCAAGAAATGTTCTAAAAGTGTTTAAATCAAAGATGATATTTAGATTTCTTCTTCTTCCACTGGGTTTAATAACTGTGTTGTTGTTGTTGTTTGTGCAGCTGTTCCCCGTGGCGTCCTTCTTCCAGCTCAGAGGTCTGCAGAGGAGCTGTGAGACGAAGCTGTCGCAGAGCGTCACCGTGGACAACGTCGTCAACATTTATCAGACTGCAAAGGTACAAAACAAAATCCAGAGGTTAGAGTCTCTGGCCCGACGCAGCCAGCGGCCCAGAGCCGGGTCGGGCCAGGAAATGAGACTGAATCCACCCAGAGTGAATTCTTCTTCATTTAGCTTATCCATCAGTGTTCATGTGTTTGAATCTTTCTATAAGACATGCTTCATGCTGCGTTTATTAAGATCTCCTCTGAACAGATTTCTGTCGTTCCATCAACTCTGAAAAGTTGTTTAAAACTTGAATCATAACAGACTTGAACCTGACTGAACTTCGCCCCGTGTGTTTGTCTCTGTAGCACCACGGAGCCGCTGAGCTCTGCAGGTTTTGTGAGGGATTCTTCCTGCAGAACATGGACCGGCTCCTGGACCGGGAGGACTTTCACCGCCTGCTTCTGGGCGGACTCTGTCAGGAGCTGCTCCGCCCCGGCATGGACCATGGCAAAGACCAGGACCCGGTGCCTCTCGTCAGGACTTTAGAGGAAACATTAATCCACAGACTGAACGGACTCCACTCTGCATGTCGAGAGTAACACTCACACTGACATCTGTGTGTGTGTGTGTTTGGGAAAAGAGCCATTTAGGTTGTTACCACGTGTTTTAATCCCAACATTTCCCTTGTTTTTCTACAATTTAGACTGTGTGTAGGAATCAACCGGCTATTTTTGAGAACAAGAAATGGTGTCTTAAGCCCTATGTGCACGGGATCAGTATAACCTATTAAGTAAAACTTCCAGAGTAATTTACTGAGCATATTTCAGCACACACAGAGCTTCTCTGATGATGATTCTGGCCGAATCGGCGTCTCAGTAATTTGGGGCGGAACATAGTTTTTAAGGAAGGTTTCTGCGACATTACGGAGGCTGTGCTGCAGATTGAGGGCTAAAATAATCTTTGCACAGCATTTAGGGTGCAAATTCAGCCGGCTCATCTCGCTACACATTATGAAGATATTTATAAATATGTACAGTATGCTCGTTGTTTGTTTGTTTGTAGACGTGTAAGTGTAGCGGATGTGGACGGCTGCACGCTGTAAGGTGTGATGCGGCCCTCAGAGACGAGGTGGTTATCATGCAGCGCCTCAACGTTTCCAATCAGAAATGTCAGTAAATAGAAATGAAAGTGATGCTGAAGTGTAAAATCCTGCAGTTCCTTGAGTGTCCACTAGAGGCTGGCTGCAGAAGCACAGGAAGTCACATACACACCCATTCTAAAAAGCCTGTTTTTACAGCAGAGATTAACTTGTTTACAGCCTGGTTCAAAAAAACAAACAGGTGAGATTAGCTCATGTCTCGATGGACACACACTGTACTGGGGGTGAATGTTTTGATGACTCATCAGTTTTGATTTGATGAAGGATAAGAGTTATTCACAATAAGGCGTGTAGCTGACCTGAAAACACTGTCATATTGTTGTGTAATAAACTTGATTTTTTATGAATGATTTCTTTCTTACTTAATTTTTCTCAGTACTGTAGCAGAGAGAACTCCCATGATTCCCCGCCAGCCTCGACATCATCTTTATTATTGTTTTGATCGAGAGCCCGCTGGTGGCAGATTTTACATACTGTGAGTTTAAAGTAAATCATTTTTTGGGGGAAATTAAGAGTATACCCATTTCTTTAGGCACTACTACACCACTTTTATTTAAGCTTTTATAAACAGTTCAGTAAATAAACTGAATAAAAGGCTGACTGTGTGTTAAAGGAAAAGATACATTTGAATGTTTCAGTTTTAGCAGATGAAAACACGAGAATACATTCCTCTAACTTTTCCTTATCTGGTTTTCAAAAAGCAAAAAAAAACTAATTCAGCTTTTCAAAATCTGAACACCACGAGAAATGAGAGAAATGTAGAGTCATGACTCGTCTCAGGAGGTCACAGTGGGAACAAACAGCTTCTTGTGTTTTCTTACCTGAGTCTTCAGGAGTTCTGTGATGTCGGGGAATCGAAAGTCGCTAAGCTATAAAAAGTTTTTGAGTTAGAAACAGTTTGGTGGGGCGCTGATAGCCTAGTGGTTATGACAAGCACGCCTTGAACAGAGGCTGTAGTCCTCATCACAGCAGTTGTGGGTTCAAATCCAACCTCTTCTCTTTGCTGCATGTCTTCCCCCTCTCTCTCTCTTCCCAACTCTTCCGGTTTCTCTTCAGATGGCCGATCCAATAAAAGGAAAAATGCCCGAAAATATTCTTAAAAGAAGAGAACATCACGTGGTCCCTGAAGTAAAAAACCTGTTCCTATCTCCATACCTGATTTGATGATTAGTCATGATGTCATAACCCTCACAGGTAGACTGACCACGAGCTACCTGACGATGTGTAACGATGGTTTATGTTCCTGTAGGAGACACAAGTTTGTCTGATATCAACCTCGCTTTAAGAACAACATGGTTTAAGCACGATATCAAAGAACTACACTACCCACGATAAAAGTGTCACAGCGACGTCTCTGATTGGTTGAGCTTGCTGTTACCATGGTAATGTTTCCTGCCCCTCAGCGCCTTATAGGTTCGCTAGCAGGCTAGAAATGTGCTAATAACCTTGTTATGCTGCATTGAATGTAGTTTATATTTTCAACAACACAAACTACAACATAGTACAACACGATAATGACTAAAGTTACTTTTGAGAAGAAGTGGGATCATTTGCAATGGATTGTGGGATGTGAAGTTACTTGATGGAAAAAATATGTACACAGTCTTGTACCTTCTCGCTGTTTTTACGCTGAATCAAATGTTTTCATAGTCACGAGTACTGGAATAGCTTGTTGTCATGGTTACAGGCGACAATCTCTTAATATTAAGATTTAGTGAAATGTCCACAGGAAGATTTGAACGGGGAAATTTACCTCCAGAACCAGAGTGGTCTAACAAGTGGGCGGTCACTGTTGAGCTCCATAAATAAGTCGAGGTCTAAATAAAATAAAATAACGTGTTTGGATGTTTGTCCGCTTCAGGCTCCCGTAGCTCTGAATGTGTAAGTCTGTAAAGATTAGAATAAGAACCCAGAAGAACGAGCACACGTCTCCAAAGTCAACAGATTTATTTCCTTTAGCACTGAAGTTGTTCACAGTAACATCACAAGGGGAAACATTGCCAGTGGTTATCCTGCTCAGTAGTAGCGCTCCGTGCTCCGAGTCCATTCTGTGTGCTCTGGATTCCCCCGGTAGAAAAAAGAGGAAAGCCAACAATGAAAGGTATTGCTTTAATTTTATCTCTCTCCGACGAGCCAAAGAGGCGCCCAGCGTGTGAGCGAGCCGGCCGCCGGAGAGCTCCCTCTTTGAGAGAACGAGTGAGGAGGATGCATTGCACGGTTACTGCGCGTCAACACAGTAATCAAAGAGGAGGAAGGAATGAAACCGAGAGAGAGAAAGGCAAATCAAAACAAACGCACAGAAAGAACGAAAATACATAAATAAGTGTGGAGAGAAAAAGGGAAGAGGAGAACAATTCCAACGACGACATGCAAAGAAAAGACGAATGCTGAACATGCAAACAAGCGTACGAGGGCGAAGCTAAGAGTAGGAATCCCCTCGCTTTTGAAATAAGCGTGTCGGTAAACTCAGCTTATTTACAGAAAAGAGTGTTTGAGATCAGAGGGGACAGTTATCAACAAAGGGTTTGTTCCTCTCACAGAGGCTACGTCTACATTCTTAAATTACGGTAAATCATTTTCCCCAAAACGTATTTTACAAAGTTTCTCTCGTGGAAAAAGCCGGGACAGAAAGAACTCACACACACGCACGCACACACACACGATCGAATAACTTAAACATGACAAAAATATCCTTAAATAATTTGGACCTTCAGAAACATTCTCGACATCGTTCATATAAATAAACTGAGAATAAATTAAAAACAAAAAAAATGGTGGAATACAATAAAGTACAAAAATATACACAGCAGTTCAATATTGTAAAAAAAAAAAAAAGAAACTTGGAATGAAAATTAAAAACTCGCTGTAACACGATGCGACTCAAACCCAAACCGGATTCACTCGGTGAAAAGTGCAAAAAGAAAAAAAAGTCGATATTTCATACATGAGGCCTGGTCACAGCAGAAAGGGTTAACGCAGAGCTTTGACATAAATACAGTATATCTGATAGCGGGGCAGAGGTTAGCGCTGGAGGTTCCTGGTTTGAATCCTCGTCTGACAGGAGTCTCTCTGTGTGGAGTCTACATGTTCTCCCTGTGCATGTGTGGGTTCTCTCCGGCTTCCTCTCACAGTCCAAAGACATGCTCGTTAGGTTACCTGCTGACTCTAAAGTGTCTGTAGGTGTGAATGTGAGTGTGGCTGGTTATCTGTCTCTATATGTCAACCCTGTGATTGGCTGGTGATCAGTCCAGGCTGATCTTATCGTTTGAGACTTCTCTCTGCTCCGCGCCCTGATTGGAGGAATCTTGAACACCTTTATCATTTTTAATGTTTTATTCGGTTTAATAGTTTTCCTTCTCTCTTATGGTTTTGTAATCTGTGTGTCATGGTGGATGGCGGTCTTGCTGCTGCAAACAAATCGACCTACAGGTACAAATAGAGTCACCTGAACCTGAGCCCCCCCCCCCTCGCCCTGAACGTAAGCGGTATAGATAATTGATGGATCAGTGATCATAAAAATGTCTCTGTTTTTTAAGACTCCAATCTGGAGTCTTGACTCGTCATTTTCACTTCTGAACGCTGTAAAATGTAAAGTCTAAAGCGGGAGCCGACTGCAGGGCTCAGAAACACTCCTGCACATGTTCAGAGTCTCACATATCCTGACACTAGAGAGGAGGGGGGAGACAGCTCTCTCCAATGATTTTAATTTGGACTGCAGTACCCATTTTAAACACTAGGTGTCAGAGTTACTGCTCCTTTAATTTCTCGTCCAAAACATGTCATTACACTTTTCAGAAGCCACATTTACCCGACAGAAAAAAAAGGCCTGAGGTGCTTTTATTAAGAAAACAAACCTGCCAATGGGCACATTTTGTGTAAGTTTCTTGAAATCAGATGTTACATCTCATTTTTAGAAGCTTAACAAGTAACATTTGTTTGTCCCAATGGTAGATTTTATTAAACTCATAACAAAAGGCCTTGTTTCCCCTTATCTTGCAGTCTGTATGAAGGTTTATTCTGCAGAAAGTCAGAGTGAGCTGATGTGAGAACGCAGCAGGATATAATCAGGAGAATTCACCTGGAGCGAGTGGGAGGGGGTGGTGACGTTTATTCCCTGTGATCGCTGCACGACCATAGACTGTCTGCACGCCACCTCTACCATCTCCGTGCTCTAATCAACCTGCTGCATTATGTTTCCTGTTCCCCCCTCCTCCAGTCTGACAGGGATCGTCTCTCACACACACGTCTCTCCTTATGTGTCAACAACCAGATCAGGAAGAATTCAGGGGCAGTCCTCCTGAAAGTCTCTAGATATTTTCAGGATGTGAAAACGGATCATGAGAGAAAGTTAAAGTAAGCCGACCGGTGTTTGAGTTTTGAGTTTCCTTCGGGGTCAGCTCTGACTTCTCGTTTGGATTCAAATTTGTGTCAAAGTGAATTTAAAAGAAGTCTGCATGAGAAATACTATCATGTGAATCCTGTCATTCTATCAGCGATATCGTCGTCTCCACGTTTCCTCGGCTGGTGTGACCAGGCCTGAACACAAAAAAAATAAAAAATATGGCAACACAACTCTAAAACATGATGTCACAACTACACTCTTTGTACATACAGAACATTATTTAATCTGTACAACAGAATAGCTCATTCATTTATGTAACATCACCTCCCCCCCTTTTTATCGTAACCTTTGAGCTGCGAGAACCCGTTTATACAAACGTCACAGAGCGCGCTCCAAAGATCCGCCCGCTCATCAAAAAGAACTACAATCCAGCCAGCGCTCGTCCAAACGTCCGTCTGCTTCTTCCTCCAAGCTCGTGTCTGTCAGTGTGTGCAGACTTTACATCCCGCAGTGTGTGTAGAGGAGTACGTACAGTGTGTGTGTTTTTATGTACATGTGGGAGAAAGAGAAGAACGAGAAAAGAGGCGAGGGTGTGTGTGTGTGTGTGTGTGTGTGTGTGTGTATAGACAAACATCACTGTCTTAAGGCTTCTTTTTTCTTTTTACAACTCATCTGAGTGTGTTTGGTCTGATCGGGGAGAAGACTCTACTGATGCCGGCGGAGAGGGAGGGAGGGAGGGAGGGGGGGAGGGGGAGTGAAGAGGGGGGAGGAGTCCTCTGTGAGTCTCTTCTTCAGTTTGTCGGACTCTCTCTTGGCGGCGGTGTTGGCGGGCCGCTGTGGGCCGCCCTGCAGGTTAATAGCTATTGTGGATGATCCCTGGTGGCAGAGACAAGTGAAGCCGTCACACATGTGAGGAGGACACACACCCACCGACAGACCCCCCCGAGGACACAGAGAGGGACAGAGGGGAGGGATGACAAAGCTACATCTGCTACTTATTGTAAAATACTGACCGACTTTTGAACTGAAATAGCCATTCCCGTTATAGAGTAGAAAATGTATAGGCAAAAAGTAGATTTCTTTTTTTTTGTTTCACTCCTAGCTAAAGAGTGACGTCAGCAGCTCCTCTGTCGTTTATGACCTGCTCAGCTTCTAGACATGCACGGCTACCGCTCCTTAAGGTTGTTCCTGTGTCCTGTTGCCGGAGGCCATCTTTGTTTTGTCTTTGCTGCCGGGGGGGCATTTAGAGTCATTGGGCGGGGGCTGGTTTGGCTTGCTGCTGGGGGCATGCTTGTTGGGGGAGCTAGGCGTGGCGGGGGCGCCAGGGGGGTGGGACGCTTGGAGGTTCTTCTCGTCTGAAAAAAGCTGTTTAATTACGTCAAAGAAGTTACTCAACGGGCTGCCTACACAGACGGGAAGAAAAGAAAAAACAAAGAGAGAGAGAGAGAGAGAGAGAGAGAGAGAAAGAGAGAGAGAAAGAGAAAACAAACAACCGATGAGCAATGAGGTTAACATGAGGAGAGGAAGAGGAGGTGATGGAGGGATGAGAGGAGGAGTGGAGCTGGAGGAAAGGAGACTTTGTGGCCGGATAAAAAAGGGGAAACTGAGGGAGGAGAGGCGGAACCAACAGGGGCCAATCAGAGACTGTACATAAGAAGTGAACATAGCCACAGAGACGATATCTTTTTCATTTGATCATATAGTTTTGGTCGCTGATGGTGCAGTGGTACAGAGGCTACAGTCCTCCGAGCGGGCGGCCCACGTTCAAATCCGACCTGCGTCTACTTTCCTGCATGTCATTACCCTCTCTCTCTCTCTCTCTCTCTCTCTCTCTCTCTCTCTCTCTCTCTCTCTCTCTCTCTCTCTCTCTCTCTCTCTCTCTCTCTCTCTCCCTGCTGTCTGTGTCGATGTCAGTAGCCAATGTTTGCTCTCTCTATACTCAGGTAGCTTGTCACTCACAGGTAGCCCCGCCCCCTAAATCATCCCCTGTGTTCTGGTCTCTGTGACTCTAACTGGGACCATAAAATACAAAATGAACATCATGCCGTAATAATGAAAACTAGACAACAAAGAGTCGCCCCCTTATGGCCATGTGTAAGAATGCAGGTTTAAGGTGCTCCCACTTTGTCTTCACTTTTGAACCCAAGAGGCTACGTCCACTTCTTATATACAGTCGATGGGGTCAGTAAAGATAATATCACAACCAATAGAACTTGAAGATATTAGTATTCAAACTGGTTTGAATGGGAGGTTCAGTTTTTGGTTTCAGAGTCTCAGTTTCCTCCGCTGGATGGAGAGCGAGCAGGAGCAGTGGAAGACGTTCCAGAGATTTAAGGAGAGATATTAAGGAATAAAATAAGCTTCTGGTTTCCCTCTAAATATTATTCAAGAATCAGAATATAAAACGTGCAGTAGAAAATAACGGACCGGTCATACAGCGGCCGTCGTCAACAGACTGTTGTCATGGAGACAGGACGGACGTGCAGCGTTTTTATACTCGGCGTACAGCCAGCGCTTTTCTTCTCTGTGCACAAATGCTTCATGCAAACACTTTGTTCTCTGGTTTCCTTCAGACCGGCTACACACGAGAGGATTTTAGGCCAGATTTGATTTGTTTTAGTTTAGTTGCGTAGTGATTAATCAAAGTGTAAGAATTTGATTTGAAATCCAATGTAGTATAAGATATTTATCGCCGACAGTCAATGAGGTATTTGAGGCTGTATGGGAATGCGTTTCCAAAAAGTGTTGAGTTTTTGGTTGTTTCTTATTTGTTGAGAGTTTGTACTCTCTATTGTCCTGCTTTTTTGTTCCTGCATGTCTTCCAAAGCTCCCGTTCACTCTCCATCAGATCAACATCCATCACAACAACATCCAACATCCATCTGTTAGCACAAACGTTATTTTCAGTCAGTGCTTTAAAAAAACAGTCAGGAGTGATCCAAACATGCGAGCAGACAGCACAGCACACACATGAATACACGAGCACTGATTCTCACAGGGTGAGTTTACAGCAGGGTGTGTCCTGCAGAGATTTAACATCAAGAGATTCATGGATGGTGTGATAACTTACCATTAATCCCCCTGTGTGTGTGTGTGTGTGTGTGTGTGTGTGTGTGTGTGTGTGTGTGTGTGTGTGTGTAGTGTCTGATATTTTGTTCACGTGATTTTAAATATGGAAAGTTTACGAGGAGGGGGACACAACTTAGTATTCAAGTGTTACCATGCAAAGGGTCACTTGGATCTGTTAAGAGCTACACACACACACACACACACACACACACACACACACACACACACACACACACACACACACACACACACACACACAATGAAATATAACTGTAGTATTTGGTTGTTTCCTCTTGTAGTGAAACTTAAAGTTTATAAAATTCCACAAGTGACTGACTGATCAATATGTAGTTTGTTTTAATTTATTGTTTTATCGAGAAGGATTCATTTTTTTGTAGATTGTACATTTTAAAGAAGGCTATAAGTGCTAATAATACGCGCCTGTTTATTTTGAGAATCATCTGCCTGTCTTCTACGTTAATTAAAGTAAAGGAAAATCTTTGGGTTTTTGGTCTCTTGCTTTAAAAAATGAATCAATGTAGTTTCTGTACAACAAAAGAAACGTCGATTTAAGAAGAAAATAATAGTCTTTATACCTCAGGATTAGTCGCTCGGGCTGTCATTTGTTTTTTTAATCGGACACAGATTCAGCTGCTGGTCTCGCCTAACCGAAATGGATTCTGTTTATTAATCCACCTCAGATCGTCTTCCCGAGGATTTAGGCTCACACTTTGTTCCGCCTGTGTCGAGTCACAGCTCACAGGCTGGCTCAGACTTCCACATACTACAGCCGTCATTTTTATATTCTAAGTTCGAACGTTCATTCAGTCTAACTGAGGTAGTTTGCAGTTTTGTCCAGCAGAGGGCGCTCTCATCATAACTTGACTACTCATGCACTGATTCACACCAGTCTGAGTTTTTAGTCTTCTTGTGGTTTATATAAGTTAAAGAAGTCATGTTGTATTTTAATGAACATTTTCCAAACTAAATATTTCTTTGCCTCTCTCACACACACACACACACACACACACACACACACACACACACACACACACACACACACACACACACACACACACACACACACACACACACACACACACGTGTAAGTGCAGACAGGGTGCGTTGTGACGAGCCTCCAGGATGTTGCCAGTGTGTGTTAAAAGCCGGAGTTAAAGTGATTTGGCCGGGAGCTCCCGGGCGCTCTGGGTCTTACCACGTTTGTTGGGTTTATGGGGCAAAGCAGCTGAGCGCTGAGAGCCATCTGAGAGCAGAGGACAGCGTCAGAAACACCGAGCGAGTCACTGCGGCTCGGCGCTTCATCATCAGTCAGCTGACATCACACATCAGCAGCACGCTGGCTTTAACTTCCTTTAATGACTCAGGATGAGTTTAAAGGACTAAATCGGTTACAGTGAATGTTCAGCACAGAGTTCACTACGTCTGGTACATGACCATCAGGAGCTGCATGGTCTGGTACATGACCATCAGGATCTGCATGGTCTGGTACATAACCATCAGGATCTACATGGTCTGGTACATGACCATCAGGAGCTGCATGGTCTGGTACATGACCATCAGGACCTACATGGTCTGGTACATGACCATCAGGATCTACATGGTCTGGTACATGACCATCAGGAGCTGCATGGTCTGGTACATGACCATCAGGATCTACATGGTCTGGTACATGACCATCAGGATCTGCATGGTCTGGTACATGACCATCAGGAGCTGCATGGTCTGGTACATGACCATCAGGAGCTGCATGGTCTGGTACATGACCATCAGGATCTGCATGGTCTGGTACATGACCATCAGGAGCTGCATGGTCTGGTACATGACCATCAGGAGCTGCATGGTCTGGTACATGACCATCAGGAGCTGCATGGTCTGGTACATGACCATCAGGATCTGCATGGTCTGGTACATGACCATCAGGATCTGCATGGTCTGGTACATGACCATCAGGAGCGCTGCATGAAAGCTGCAGAGACTCTTTGAAGCTGAACATTTACTGTGGTAGATTTAACCCTTTAAAATTCATCTGCTGCTGCATCCACACAAGTCTAACCTTCAACATATGAATGAGCTAACACACACACTCTCACACACACACACACACACACACACACTCTCTCACACATACACAGAGGAGAGCATCAGGTTTGTGTGTCTGTCGAGCTGTCAGGGGTTTAGTGAGTTCCATCGAACATGCAGATCATTGGGTTCTGAGGCCGACTGCACACAGGTCAGCAAACACAGTCACAGACTTGTGTGTTTGTTTGCTGCGACATACACGACAGAGCATGCTTTCACTTCAGTTAAACGCTCCTTTGGTGGCAAAACGCACAATCTTTGGTGAATGGCAGCTCGCCCAGAACCATCAGCACACGTAGAGCCAAGTCTCCTAAACAGAACCCGACCCCGCTTGTGTTCAGCTTTTTACACAGTTTTAACCGACTCTCAGTTTGTGTGCATGGTTCTGGGTTTGCATCTCATTCAGCATGCGGGTCATTCAGTCCATCCGGGTGGCGTCGGAGTAAAGCTGAGGTGACAGGAAGCAGGTGGCATGAAGAGGCAGGCCAGAGGTAGAGATAGAGAGAGAGAGAGGTGGTATAGAAATAGAGTAGATAGAGTTGATAGAGATGTAGATAGAGATGTGGGTTATTGGCACATCTACAGGTGGAGGTGATTGTGCGTTCAGTGCCTGATAACAGTTCCCATCTGTGGCAGTGACTGGTTAGACTGATGCTGCTTGTGTTTGTGTTTCATCTGGAGTCTTACAGGAATAAAAGAGTCCTGAACTGGACTCTCTTAGAGTTTAGCTGCCTAGTGTTTGTCCCCCCTTTAAGAAGTATTTCCTGGTTACTGCCGCCCCCTTAGTCTGGGCTCAAGTCAGCTCATAGTTCAGCTTTTTTAAGATGTCTGAGTAGTTTGGTTTTACGTTGAATTAATTTGAGTTTAATCTTGGTAATAATCAGATATCCTCTGATTATAAGGTTGAACATTATAAATCCTAACTCTGTGGCCAGGTTTCTCCAACATTTGAGCACCGGACATAATGAGAGTACGACATTATATGATACGAAACATTATTTAAGTTTCACTCAGTGTTTTTAGTATCGAGGTCAAACCTATCGATGTACTTAAGTCGCTTTTTCAGTGGATGTGTTTCCCACGAGAGAACAAACTACATGTCAATACTGAACATGTCATTTAATTCAAATTAAACCTGCAATGTCACCAAACTTTTTGGACTCTTACCAGAAGACATCTTCATTGACTGTTACATGATGGCTAACTCATGTTTGTTTATAACTGATTGACGGCTGCTCACAGCGCTGTGTGGCGTTGTTGGAGTTCAGGTTTAGAGCTGAAATGGATTAAACATTCCTCCACAGAACGAGGACTTTTAGAGTGAATCTGACGTTTTTGAGGCGTGTCTGCTCCGAATTCAGATCAGGACTTTAAGTCTCAAAAGAAGAAAAGAGAAGAAAGTATTTACTCGACGATTTCCGCCTATGAATCAATCATTATTTATTCTCTGGTACTGAGCAAACCTGTGGTCCAGATTTGTTTTGTATGTCGGATAAAGACAGACTGCACGACTTGTTCACACACGAGATGTTTTAGCTCGCTCAGTTTGTGGTTAACGCCTTCGACACAGGAGGACACTTTATGTTTGATTCATTGAAGTTACAGTCGGCGCTTAACGAGTGTTGAAACTGATTTATGTTCATATTTGTCCAGTCACTGTTTGATGTTTGCTGCTCTTGTTTGTTGTGTTTCTGCGGGGCACCCTTTGGTGTACGACACGGTGAAGTAAATAAAAATAAAAGTGATGGAACTGAGCACGTACCCACTTCTGTTCCTCTAAAACTGTGTGTGTGTGTGTAAAGTGTCTTTTTAAAAAGTTTGACATCAGTGATTGTGAGAGGATGTGCTGTAGTTACTCTGCTTCACCACCAGAGGGGACCATTATCAAGTAAATAACCACAGATACAAGAACAGAAATACCTCAGAGTAACACCAACAGACAAAACTAAAGTAAAAAGAAAAAGGACGACTGGAGAACACACAGTCACGCTTTCTTTTCTTCCATATTTTTAGCATCAATCCGTCTTTTTATAGGCAGCCCAAAATATCCAATCATGTCAGAGATAATTTCAGAGATTTGAGGGATTGTTCCGGGGACATTTTGAAACACTAAACACCAGAAAGGTAAGACATTACAGTCTGAAATCATGTTTCCTCTCTCCCTCTTTCAGACAAAAAGCAGCATGCACAAATCAAACAGCTGATCCACTCGTGTTAATGTACTTTTTTTATGAGCTTCTGTTTCCTGTTTGTGTGTTTTTTCTGCTGAGTCAGACGCGATGAGAGCCGAGCTGCTGTCTGCGGTTTGATGTACAGCTCCTGAGAGGCTGTAAATACACATCTGCAGCTCTCGTCCTGTGTGTGTGTGTGTGTGTGTGTGTGTGTGTGTGTGTGTGCGTGTGTTTGTGTATGTGTGCTCGCCATGCACGTGGAGATGCTGTGTGCTTAAGCAGTGTGCCGAGCCGAGCTGAGCCGAGCAGGTCCGGGCCGAGGTGTTCTGCGGGTGTAGCTGTGAGGAGTGCCAGGATGCTTTGAGGAGGGGGAGGCTGTGAGGACGAGGAGGGTGGCGAGGGACTTCACTTACCAGAAATCTGCGGCTGGATGCCCGGCTGGTCGTTGGTGCTCAGCAGCTGAGCCTGGATGGTCTCCACCACACGCTTGAAACGTCTGCTGGGACCTGAGGAAAAAACGAAGGCATGTTTGATCAGAGTGCTGACTCTCGATGATAAGTCGAAGGCTGTCAAACATCGCTGGCTTAAGTCAGATGGATCAAGAAAAATAGACGACATCACTCATGAGAAATCTGTATTTGTGCAAAATGTCTTTGATCCAATTTAAATAAATCTGAGGGTCCATCCCAGTAAACCTCCCAGTCGTGTGTCAGCAAAGGTTGTCAACAAACATCGCTGTCGCTGCACACGTCCGTTCTCCCCAGGTGTGTGATGGAGATTTACTTCCCCTCCTCTCTGACTTTGGATTTAACCTGACTTTCTTCTTCTCCTCTTCCTTATTAAGCTTCGAGCTCAGCGGAACATCATTGTCAATTAAGAGAGGGAGAGTTCAGGTCTGCAGGACCTTCAGACAGTCTCAGTTGAAGAGAGTGGAGGACCAGAATATTTTCACCCCAACCAGGAAGACACGATCGACTAAAGTGTGAACCTGGATACTGATCTGAAAAAATGATCTACATAAACCAGCCGTCTCGTTCAGAATGAAATTTCTTTCCAAATGAGCCAGAACAGATCAGTTTTACATGAAGCATTTTTATTCTGCTCATGAGTGTGCATGTTAACATAGAAAGTAGTATTTGCTGTAGTTCAAACAAACAAGGTAATCTTTGTAGATGACCCTCGACACATGGCTTCAAAAAGAACAGGATAAAAAAACAGAGAGAGTGAGCTCTAAAAATAACTGCATCATCCGAGAGAGAGAGATAAACGAGATGACCTCATTCTGTTTGTCTTTCTGTCTTTATTTAGGGTTCTGCTTTTCTTTGAGCTTTACTTCCCCTTCTATGGAAAAAAACATGTATATTTTTAAATAAAATGGCCTAGAAGCATAGATTGTATAAAACATGGACGTAGTCTCAGTGACGTCACCCGTTGGTTTCTGAAGAGGTGTTATGAAGCCCAACGATGGTGGTCACCATTTAAAAAATTCTGACTCTGGTAAAGATGTGGAGCTGAGGCGCTCAAGTGACGTTTTTTTATAAATTCTATTTTGAGGGGAGACAACAGAGGAGGCAGACCTGATTGGGGGGGGGGGGGGGTTTGAGGGCCTTGACCGCAAAAGCATGGTCACCTTTGAGCTTGAGATGTGAATCCTTTCAGCAGAATTTTTTTTTCCAGTCTTGTTCATAAACAATTTTTAGTCTCTGTAGCTCATTTTCTAATAAATGAAAAGCCTTGTAGTTATTTATAAATTTGCATAATAAGGGGCGTGTTTGAGTTGAATGACAGGTGAGCGGGTCAGCTCCGCCTCTTCTTTCCTGTTTCCTGATTGATCAAACGTTATGCTGAGAATTGAGCGCCATTGTTGGGATTCACAACACCTCTTCAAGCAATGTGTGATGTCACTGAAACTACGTTAATGTTTGCATAAATCCTCAAGTGGACACTGGAGGAACTGCAGTTTATTTGCACTTCCACATTGGCTTCCTTTTTCAACCTAAGGGGTCGCTGCTTGCCTAGAAGCCTTACCTAGCCCGTGTGCTGTGTTTACCTGAGAGCAGGGTGAAGGTGACGGAGTAGATGCCGTTGTCCTTGGTGGCGCTGGTGCTCTCCGTGTAGGTGATGTCCACCTGGAACTTTACCGGCTTCTGGAAAACCGTCGGCCCGGCCGTGGACTTGTACTCCGCCCGGAAACTGGTCTGAGAGATGACGCTGTGGCTCAGGCTGGGGATCTGAGAGCGAGCGAGAGAGAGAGAGAGGACAGCAGACTGATAGTCAGCAACTCCACAGACGACAAACAGATTGTGCATCAGTAAAGATGGCAGCGTGGATGTGAGAGCAGCAGACAGGAGCAGAAGGAGACGGTGTTTCACAGCGTCTGAGTCATCATCAACGCAGAGACGCTGCTGTGACTTTAACACAACATGAACATTTAACACGTGCACTGACTCAACTTAAACCTGAAGTCACTGTAAAGTAACTGAACTTGAGGTTTCATCAGAGAGAAAGAGCGAGGAGGAGAGCAGATGAGATGTTTGCATGAAGAAGTAAGAGGAGACGTACGGAGAGGAAGGCGTGGACGATGTCTGCCTTTATGGAGCTCAGAGGTTTGTCTCTGATCACGATGAAGATCTGCTCCTCTTTCTCCAGGTTGATGAAGTTCCCGAACCACGACTTCTTAGCCAGCCTGCAGGGAGGAGACCACAAGTGATGCAAGGCGCACGATACCACTCCAAACAGACGACATCAGCCGTGTTAGTTCACATAAAATGTCATGTGTGTGTAGAAGTATTCATTCGTTATTATTATTCCTTATTTCATTTTAGGTCTTTTTAGTTTAGTTTTGATGGTTTCTGATTTTAGTTTTAATATTTTCAAAATGCCTAGCTGTTGTTTAGTTGTATTAATTATTTTATTTCATGTTTGTTTGTATCTGGACAAGTTTAGGATGGAGCAAGTAAACCGTTGCCACACACAACAGCGGCCATAGTCTAAGCTAATTTGATCTCCCGTCCCTAGATGTTTACTGGGGATCAAGAAAGAGTTTGTCCAGAGTTTAGACTTTTTGTGTTGCAGATGATGTGACATACCTTTCCATAACTTTAAAGGGGACATATTGTGAAAAATCCACTTCTACAGTGTTTTGAACATATATTTGTGTAACCTGAGAGTCTACTGACCCACAAAATGTGAAATAAACCCATCCAGTCCTTTGTTTGTGGTCTGCATAAGTTTTACAACACAGAGAAAAATGCTCTGTTTCAAATGTGCTCTCCTTGTGATGTCACAGTGGGATTCTGGTAAAAAAAAAAAAAAACCCTCCCCTCCCCTGATATCTCCACCCATGGACTCCACCTCCAGCCTAGAACAAAACTTTTACACAGGTCCACCATTTTTGTTCTCTCTACAGAGGAGTGATGTCTACGGGGAAAACGCTTCATTGCATTTAAAGAGACACACACACCAAAACGGAGCGTTCTGAGAGAGCTGGTTTATACAGGGTCACAAACCTCCTCTGGTCCTTGATTCATGTTATATTTTGACCAAAGCACAGCACAGATGTTTCATTTAGACCACAGGGGACTGTTTGAAAATGTTGGAAAAGGGGGATAATATGTCCTCTTTAAAACCTTACCTTATATCCTTACTTTAACTCCAATCATTACAATATAGTATAACACTATACAGGATAGCATGCAGTGGAAACTGATGGTCTCTCTCTAGCCCTTATCAGATTGCTTTTTTGCCTATGTGCCATAACTAAACTCAGCCATCATCACCTCTTTTACGTTCATATTGGTTCCACAACTGCGTGATATTGGTGTCCCAGTCTGTGAATTCACATTCTGTTCTGGCATTGCTGAAACAGTTTGAAGCAATATTACAATGGCACCAAACCAAGAGCTAAAACCAGCTTATTTGTATGATGAATGAATGCACACTTTAATCTTTTCTTTATATTCTGAACATGTTTGTTTTTCGATGATATGTGGGGACATTTAAGTGAATGTCTCTTTATGATTTGATGACATGTTCCCAGCCTGGCTGTAGAGACGTGAGATGCTGTTTTACTCACTCTGGAGACGAGTCTGGGGTCAGACTGGACATGTCCTCCTGGGTGGGAACTGTGGGGACAGAGGTTTACAGAAGTTACAGAGTCATGAAGAAGAGGGATTAGATTTGTTTCTCCCCAAATGTCAATGCCTCCCTGGCTCTTCTAATCCCTTGCTGTAATTAAATGTTGTCTTGTTTTTCATCATGTTTTTGTTTTTGTGAAGCCAAAGACAATTTCCCACATTGTGTACAAATAAAGTTCTGAACTATTCTACAGTTCCTCTATCATGGAGGAGATTATCCGGTGTCTGCTCGGTTTGTCCTGAGGGGCTTCATGACTCTATCAAAGCAGGAAAACTACTTAAATTGAGGCAGAGAAATGGTGAATTTTCCGCTGCCTGTAATGAGATCGTAATCTGGCGTATGATATGACCAGAGGCCGCACTTTCTCCTGATAAGTCTGCAGCAGGTGAAGCTTTGAACACAGCCGAGAGGAGAGAAGAGATGATTTGTGTTTGTGTTATTAAACACTCCCTGCAGAGTCGACTCGTCAGATAAGAACAGAGTAATATCATGAGGATCTGAATAAATCACATACAGAGGTCTCTATTATTAAAGACCCCCCCCCCCCGGCCCCTCCCCCTACCTTGCATTTTCCTGCGGTGGAAGCGCGGCGAGCCCAAGAAGCTGTTCTTGATGGAGTTGAGGCGTGTCCTCCATGGCAACCCCCCGATGGAGGGGCTGGGTGGAGGTGTCGGGCTGGGGGTGCCGGCTGGGCTTTCCTTGGGCGTGTGAACCGGGGTGCCTTTGGGGGTGGGGAGAGGGCTCCCTCTGGGGGAGGGGTGGGGGGTCACCTGCGTGATGGGGACAGATTTGCCGTTGTGGTCAGGGTGGAGGTGGTGTCGGCGGCGGGGAGACATAGGAGGCACGGGGGAGAGAGGGATGGACAGTTTGGGGGGGACAGTAAGGGGAGGGTGGCGTCTCACCCGGGGGCTGTTGGTGATGCAGGGGGCCAGGGGGTTGTTAGGCGTGGAGGGCTCAGATTTGGGGGTGGAAGGTGTTTGGACAGTGTTGGGGAGGGGGTTGGATCTGGTGGTCTGGAGGGGTTTCTCGGACACTTTGGGCTTGGCGGGGAGGGTCTGCGTGCGGGGATGCATGAGGGGGGACCCCATCTTTGGCTGGTAGGAGTTGGGCGTGCGTGGCCCCACCCCGTTAAGGCGGACCTCAGCGGAGTGGGTGGGGCTACAGTTGGGGGACTGACACAGGTCTGGGGACTGGGGCGGGATGAAAAACCGCCTGTTGGGCTGCGATTGGTCATGCGGCGTTTGACATGACGGCAGAATCAGCCAATGTGAGAGCAGGACCACAGCCACAGGAGCAGCAAATTCCAATAAAGGATCAATCCATTAAAAAAACAGAGCGGGAAAGAAAAAGAGGCGTGGCAGATGGGTTGAGAGGTGGAGCAGGCAGGAAGTGGTGAGAGTGCAAGAAAGAAAGAAAAACAGAGCATGCCATTAGCACAGTGATTAGCCAATCAGGAGGCAGCAGTGGAGCATTCATGACGCAATAACAGTAGGGATGCACCGAGATCAAAACTCAACGACCAAAACAGTTTTTTATTTTACTGAGAAGAAATGACTGATGGAGAATATTCTGCATGTTTACACCTCACCTGTTTGAAGTTAAAACCAATATTTACAACACACATGTCCAAAAACAGTCCAAAAGGAGGATAGTTTTGAGATACAAATCTTTCCTTTTCCCTTATTCGTCCTTTGTTTTCATATTTATGACATTAACGTGTTCAAACAAACGATTAAGAATTAAAAGCCTCGTTTCCACCGGGCGGTCCGGGTCAGTCAGTTCAGTTCAGTTCAGTTCAGTTCAGTTCAGTTCAGTTCAGTTCAGTTCAGTTCACACATTTATTGGCACTTCCACTGTCAAAAGTTAGTAATGGTACCAAAATAACAGATCTATTCCGTCCTACTTTTTAGCTACACTTCTGATAGGATGCCAAGCATACCGATCCGATCCTAAAGGGTGGAGCTAGAGCAAATTGATTGGTCGAAAAAACTGACACTTTCCATTCAACAGTGGAAATAAAGGAGAAAGACAAGACGCGGTATGTTGTTGTTCTTGGGCTTCTATGCCTTCATTTAGAGAAAGGACAGTGGATAGAGTCAGAAACCAGGAGAGAGAGAGAGAGAGAGAGAGAGAGAGAGAGAGAGAGAGAGAGAGAGAGATGACCTCCAACAGGGGCCACAGGTCGGATTTGAATCCACCCCAGAATAAATTAACATTGCGTCGCTTTTTAGAAAGTAGATCTCGGAGGTTCAGACCTCTGCTGGACGTCCTCCATTGTTGCTCTTTGTCTACTGAGTCTCGTTCTACTTCTTCTCCATCTAATTTATTGGCGGGCTACACTGTGTCGCCCTGCTATGATGTCATGCTATTACACTTAGTTTACCAACTAAGGGTACGGCTGACAGAGTAAGCGAACTCAGGGTTAACTGTACTAAACTGTAGTGAACCAAACCGGACCGCTTGGTGGACACGAGGCTAAAGTGTAAATATCAGTAAGTCAGTGAACTGTCTCATTACCGCCTGTGTCAAAGAAAGTCTCTGAATGTTTTCCTAAAGTTTCATTTATTTACCTAAAATATTAAAAAACCTTTTTAAAGTTTGTAGAAAAACGAACAAATCAGTGAAATCCAACAAACTGATAGAGAATCGTCAGCTACACATTCTGTAAAGTTTGTATATATAATTTCGGTCTGATTCTCCGATGCATCCCTAATTACCAGCAAGTGACCCAGCTCGAAAGCTAACGGCTTTTAGCTTCGCCGTCCGCCTCGGAAAGCAGCCTGAGTGCATGCAGAGTGCCGGTGCACGATGCTGTGGAATGAATGAGCAGATCACCGATCAGACAGTCCGAAATGCGCGAGTCCACAGCCGGGGCTCGCTGAAGACTCAGAGGGTCTGAGAGGGGGTGGGGGGGGGCGGACTGTTCTCAGATCAGCGTTTAAAGCAAGCTGCTTTACGTGAAGTGGAGCTCTTATGACATACAATGGAGAGGGACCCTGTGTGTGTGTGTGTGTGCGTGTGTGTGTGTTTATGTGGCAGTAACACATTCTTTATCATTTTTTTAAACTCTGAGCCTCATGCATGAAACACTCATGGAAACAGATTTTGGATTCGACTCTTCGTCTGCTTCTATGCAAACTGTTAGAGCCAATTTTTAAACGAGGGAGGAGGAGTTATCTTTTGTGTTGCATGTGCTGCATGCTTAACTGAACACAACGCTGACTGCTGATTGGTTGAAGCTCACAGCAGGCTGCCAGTGATGGCTTGATTGTTTAATTGGAAGCTCAGGAGCGACGGCAGCATGCTGGTCTTTGACCGTGCTGTACATTCAGTTTTTTTGTAGTTTTAGAGTTTTTTCTTGTGTTTGTATTGACAAATAAAACTTAAATAGGTCAAACGAGGAACCTGGATTGGGGGGGGGGGGTCTTCTCACAGGATTTTAAACCTAGAATCTGATCCACAATTCAACGATTGAGAAGCATTTCTGCGATTAAAACCCCCACATGTGGCCAAACTTTTACCTCCTGATTACTAATCTGATGTTTTGGATCTCACATTTCCAATCTAGCGTACGTCCTGATGCTCAGGGGGAATCTTTTCAAGGTGAAACAAGCGATTTAGGAATGAAACGTTTCTGCACTTTAGAGAATTTGATGACTCCAAACATTTGTAGAGAAAAGAAAGAAGTTAAAAATGTTCGTGCATGAGGCCAGGAGACAAAATCAAACAGAAGAACATTCTGACCTGTGAGGATTCAAACAATGACAGTCATGATAAAGTTAAACTTTAAACTGTGTGTCTTTGCAGAGAGAGAGAGAGAGAGAGAGAGAGAGAGAGAGAGAGAGAGAGAGAGAGAGAGAGAGAGAGAGAGCGGATGTCTGATGATGATGCACAGCGTGTGTCCTTGCTCAGGGTTAGCTGAAAAAGTGCAGAGAAGCTGCAGCGTGATTTGTTAAGTGAAGCTCTCTGTTTGTCACCGCAGCAGCACTTTTCATTCTCAAGAGTGATTCATGGACTCTTCGGCTAACCAGGTATGAAGTTTTTGTTCTGGACCTACAGTAAATCAGTTCTGTGTTTGGCCTTCGATGGATTCGCTCTCACTTCGTCTGAAACTGTGTGACGTCCAGAACAGCTCGACTTCACTCTGCTCACATCCGGGTCGGATCACGACTTCTTATGAGAGGACGAAGTGCAGCTCATACTTCAGCTTCTAAATCTGATTTATATTTCTTTAATAAAGTCATCTCACTGTGACAGTCTGTGTCACATCATGATACAGAAGTCAGAGGAGAATCAGTCGACAATATTCACAATTAACTAGCTGATTATTAGCATGCTAATTAGTAGCATACTGGCCGCTTATTAGTACCTTATTCTACATGACTACAGTCTATTAGGGATTCCACACTGGCAGAAAAGCTCCTGATATTTACAGGAGGAGCTGTATGTGTGAATGTTTCTCTCTTCACCCGGAGTTTCTCCTCCAGCCTCCTCGTATTTATTCTGCAGAAAGTCAGAGTGAGCTGATGTGAGAACGCAGCAGGATATAATCAGGAGAATTCACCTGGAGCGAGTGGGAGGGGGTGGTGACGTTTATTCCCTGTGATCGCTGCACGACCATAGACTGTCTGCACGCCACCTCTACCATCTCCGTGCTCTAATCAACCTGCTGCATTATGTTTCCTGTTCGCCAGTTTGTTCTTCTCCACTCTTTAGTTCACATTGAGATTCTGTGAAAAACTACACGTAGCATTGATCGAGCATAACAAACAACAACATCGGGCTCAAACAACCTCATTCAGGCTGGACTGAACGTCACACAGACTCTGCTTGAAGTCCACGCTGGTGAGAGGCTTCTGTGAGGGAGCGTAACAACAACCAGCAGTGGCCGGGTGCATTGTGGGAAACCAGGAGACACACTTACCCTGGGGCTGCTGAGAGGACTGGTGGACAGGTTGGAGGACGCTCCGCTGATCGACCGCGACCTGCACAAACACAAACGCACACACACACAGAGTGAGCTCATTACAAACCTAAACGCGCACACTCTCACACTGCACTACACAAACACACACAACAGGTACACACACAGTCCCAACACCTCGTCGTCGAGTAGTTACATTTGAAGGCTGCCCAAACTGCATCCGTTGAATACGGAATGTAATTCTCTGTTTCCCCTTGTAAAGCACGTCTCACTGCGGCGCTCAGCTAGGACACTCCGATAGGAAACAATAGAATCAGGCGGATTTTGTTGCTGACGCTCGCTCGCGCCGCGTGCTGTTTGGACTCGCTGTTCAGCTTAGTTTACATTTCTTCTTCCTGTTTGGATTCTCTTTAATCAGTGAGTTTTGAAGGACTTACAGTAAATCGAGTTCCGACAAAAAGAAAATCAGAAAAACAATGAAGCCATTAAAATGTTTAAATCTTGGACGTTACCATGTTTGATATTTTCAAAGGTTTCTTTTTTTTACTTTTTTTATGCCATTAATAGAGACAGAGCCGTGGATAGAAACTGGGGAGAGAGAGCGGGGAACGGCATGCGGGAAAGGAGCCACAGGTCGGATTTGAACCCGGGCCGCCACAGCCCCCACACACGCTAGACGCCCACCAACCACCAGGCCATCGCTGCCCCTTGATATTATTTTTGAGACATTCAAAGGCACCGTGGTGTCATAGCAGAGAGAATCACTCCCATGATTCCCCGCCAGCCTCGACGTCATCTTTTGTTATTGTATTGATTGAGAGCCCCCTGGTGGAGGAATCTACAAACTGCAGGTTTAACTGACTGACTACATCCTGCTCCGTCACCCTCTGGGTACATTTCTGTGATATTTTACATCCAACAGTTTTTATTTTCTTCAGCCTGGGACTAATCGTGTCAGTTAGTGACTGAAGCTGTTAACGCTGGCAGCAGGTTAGCGGTGTGAACATCGCCGGCTGTTGCCCTTTTCACTGTTAGCTGTCGGCTTAGGTGTGGAAACACTCCGTCACACACCACACCGTGTTTCCTGTTTACATTAACTAACAACATCCTGCGTAACAGACACACACACACACACACACACACACACACACACACACACACACACACACACACACACACACACACACACACACACACACACACACACAGCAAAATGCATTAGCACAGTTTTTCTTCTCTTCATGAGCTTTTCCATTTTTCATTTACGTGTCATTAACTTCTCATTTCTCCCTCCTTCTTCTTCTTCTTCTTCTTCTTCTTCTCCCTTTTGCCCAAATGGCATCTCTCTCCTCTTGACCGCCCCTCACACACACATCTACACACAGACACACACACTCATTTTCAAACACACACTCTTTTTTTGCCTGAAGCCCGTTCAGGCCCGGTGATGTCTTTGGAAGATGTTGGGATTTAATTGCCCAGAGACAATTTGGCTTTGTTGGAAGGGAGAAATGAAAACAGTAAATCACAATTAAACATCCTTGAACTGACACTCACACACACACACACACACACTCACACACTCAAACACACACAGGAGCGATGACATCACTGGCGTTCAATTACATTCAGCAGCTGTGTTGTTGTCGTTTAAAGAGCTGTTATACAATTTTAATGTTGAACCCATTAAAGTGCTCACATGTAATTGCAGCAATTTAGTTCCTGCATTTATTATTTTCATGATAATGATTATTGATTGTTCTGTGATACATTATGAGGCGGGTTGTAAAAGTGTCATTTGTGTTTCTCTCTAAATGATTGTAAAAAAAAAAGACAAGTGGGAATAATCCTGTCTGTGCTGCTACTGTTCATGTTTAAACAAATACATTTCAAAGCAGCGTTAAAGGCCTTGGCCTTTTGTCTTTCATGTTCCTTTCATTAGTCATCCAACATTTCCAAATGTTTTGGATTGGAGCCTTTCCTCTTCTAATGTGTAAATTATGTTTAAATAAAGACAGAGTTTAAAGGTCACATATTCACCATGTTCCTCTAACTCTAATATGTGTCCCTAGTCTGTCTAAAAAACCCCCAAATGATGAGAAAAGTCCATCCTCTCCGTCTTTTGCCTGCTACACTTTTCAGAAAACAGGCCGTATGGAGATTTCCCTTCATGACATCACAAAGGGCATTAGCCCCTCCCCCAGGTAGGTGACACTCCCACAGCTAGGTGTTTGTTCTGCCCTCTGAGTCTGCCTTCTCACCGTAAACAATAGGACATGGAGCGAGAAAGCCAGAGACACCCAAGCCCTTCCAGAGAGGGGGCGTGGTCATACACAGCTCATTTACATATTTAAAGGTACAGACACAGAAACAGCCTGTTCTGAGCAGGGCTGAAATAGAGAGGTTTATAGACATGATCAAATACAGGATCAGAGTGGATTTAGAACAAGAAACTTCACACACATGCTTTGAGGAGAATTATTTGAGACTTATTTAAACTGAAGAGGAGGAGAATATGTGACCTTTAAAATGTTGCATTGAACACGAAGACTTTGAAGTATCAGCTCAGTCTTTAACATCGTTAGCATTCCTTCTTGCTCCATTGATAAAAACTAGTGGAGAACGGGAGTCTACAATGCCTCTGCTGCTTATGTTTGTGACTCGCTCAGTTTGTATCTGATCAGTCTATTCGCTGTCTTTCTTTTGGCTTATCACGCGTACATTCTGTGTCTGCTGTGTTAACTAATATTGAGAGAGTGCTGAGGAAATGTTTGAGCACACAGCGATGCTCCATTAGCGGCGGTGAGGAGCCTCTCCACGGTGTCACACTTTGAGAGAGGAGCTTCTATTAGCACGCAGCTCATTAACTGTGACACTGTTCAGGCCCACGTTGAGGAAACAGGCGCCGGCTCGTCTTTGAAATCTGAAAATTAATTCGCAGTTCATCGCCGGTGATGTGTGCGAGAGAGGGAGCAACAACCTTCATTTTATGGATCTCCGCAATTAGATGATGAGAGAGATAAAGGGGTGTTCAGAGGGAGGGGAAGCCTCGTTCTCATCTCCTGTTTGTGCTCCATCTGCATTCCTGCTCATTAATCTTTGCTAATCTCCTCCCAGGCTGAGAAAAACATCGACAAACTGTTTCACCAACGCAAGGTCAGACACACAGGGAGGCCTGAGGCGTGGAGAAAATGACCCCTTAACGGACAAACACCGACAGATACCAACCCACACACAAACACAAACACACACTGACAATGAGGAGGGAAGATGAGTGGAGGGAGAGGAGGGGGAGGCGGAAACAGAAAAGTTGACCTAAAAACTCTCTCTGCCCTCGAGGGCCGAGAGGAGACTGTGCTATTTTTCAGATTCACAGGGAGGAGGATGTTCTGTTTCTCCTCTGGAATCAAATACATCAAGACTTTAGTTAATTTTTTTTTTTTACCAGCGATGCTGTTTAACGCATGCTTTAATGTCCTTTAAAGCTGTTAATCGACACACTGAAAGCTCAAAACCACTTTAATGTGGATGCTTGTTAAAGCGACTAAGGTAAGATATTGCAATCAGAAGAAATCAGAAGCGGAAATGTTCTGCTATCTACTTTTTTGGCCTTTTCTTATATTTTAGTCTCTGAAAAAGTACAACAAAAACTTGCTGATTTGCTCCCTATGAGGTTTCAGCTAGACGCCACAAAACAGGCTGTAATGGCTGCAACATAAACCTCAGAGGGAATTTACCCGATCTGTGTCTGTCCAATAAAAGTTCTTATTTTTCCCCCCGACAGGCTCAGATTGTTATTTTAAGTGTCTGACAATGTTACAGATATTAAACCATGATGCTACTTTTGAATCTTAGCCCTGACATCTCTCTCTTCAAAGCCTCCAGACTCCATTAACATGAACAGACCTTTTACCTTGCGGAACATTAAGGTTTCTTGTCTGCACCATAAACTGTATAAAACAGGGGTCTGCAACCTTTCTTCATCTGAGAGCTACTTTGAAAAAATTAAAGTGGCCAAGAGCTACTGGCATCAAATCGCTTGCATTTATTTACACAGCACACATCAGCTGAATTAATGAATGTGTGAAATTGCAATAAGCCAATGCTTATCAATAATCTTAAATTCACATCAAGGTCCAAGATAAAAACATGAATATTTTACACTTCTTATTGCTCCAGAGCTACGTGTTGGAGACCCCTGGTATAAAACATGGACGTAGTCTCAGTGACGTCATCCTCTGGTTTCTGAAGAGAACTGAAACCGGACTTTTGATGGATTTAGTAACATGTGAAGAGGTGGAGCTGAGGCGAGCCGTTAACTGCACACAGATAAAACGAGTCCCTAATTATGATCGTTTCTCTTTGGCAGAATATAATTGAAACAGATGAGTTATAAATAGTTATATAGTTGAATTTCCTCTATGTTAAAATGTTAAGATATCTAAGAGTTAATAGAAAGAGAACTAGTTAGTGAATGTGTTACATTTAAAGTTTCACAGACATTTCATGACATGTGGAGAACTGAAAGTTGCAATGAATTGTGGGAAACTAGACTGAGGGATGGTAAAATAAAGAAGAAGAAGGGACAACATGGAAGTGACACGGCACACAAACGGAGGAGATACGGCGATCGGAGCCGACCAATACCTTTCTTCCTTGCTGCAGTTAGCGTTTGTGATATCCAAGCTTTTACTGAAAACAGATTTGCTAAAAGGGGGCAGACAGAAAAAAACCGAGAGACAGACAGAGAGGCAGTCACATAAGGGGAATCCTAAAGAACAGCATGCAATGTTTAAAAAACAAGACAGAACTTATAACCAACTTAGCACTTTAACATGAACAAAGAAAACCAGCGTGGAACACGGAGAACTCAGAACATGCACAGACTGAGAGGTCAGAGGACGAACAGGAGGAGACACACGCTCATGGATCATGCTGAGTCAGCGGGACATTCAACACGCTCCCTCACTGTCAAGAGGAACTCTTTAACGCTCAGGTTTACGCCCACAGAGCGGCGGATCAAAGGCTCTGTTACTGTAAGACGCTGTGTGAAGCTGATCTACAGACTTTAAGAATACCGCTAGTTTAACTCAAGAAAGAAAGAAAGAAAGACGATGAACACAAGAGGTGGAATAAAAAGAAGAGAGCTTGTAAACAGTTGATAACTGGACTCATATCTGACAAACCGAGGGGGCGTCTAAGTCAAGTTGTTTGAGGTTCACAGCAGTGAAAATCAAAATACAGTCAAGAGAAGTATTTCCTTCAGAGGTCAGCTCTAACGGCCTCAGACGGCTCAGATAAACAACGTGTTTACTTGTTGACAGAAACAACAATCAGCAGATTCTGTAGGTCATCCACTGTGACTGACTTAAAGACTTAAAGAGACACAAAAGGCCGAGTGGAGACTTTAAAGAAAACAAGAAGAGTTAGAGGTGCAGAGAATAACGGCCCGGGGAAAGCATGCAGCTTGCACTGTGTGTCTTTGTTTCAACGTGCTCTGGCAATAAGGAGAACAATCATGTTCAGGCAAGGAATATGCACAATACATACAACACCCTGAGAACCTTTTTTAGCAAGACTAAGGCCCCGTGTCCACCTAGCATTGTATCAACCTTCTTCAATGAGGAGAGAGCGTTTGCATCAGCATGCGGCGCCCAACGTCTTTTCTTTCCCCCGATGCATCAGTGCACCCCTAATTTTTTGAACTCCCTTTTCAGACATCAGGAATGTGTGCGGTGAGTTGAGAAAACTAACCTTGAGAGTATGGAAGATGCACTCTGTTCACACCTTTGACTTATGATTGGGAGAAATGGCGAAACACTTTACGCCTGGAGGAAGATGATCTTATAATGAAGACAGAGGAAGTGTGTTTGATGAGATCTGGGACTGATGTTTTTAACAGTGAGGACTCATTTTGTATTTCTTATAAACCACTGTGCAGCATACAGCCGTCCCTGGTTTGAACATGGTTTTCGTTCATGTTCCTTTTAATGAGAAACGGCTCTGTGTCCGGTCTAAGTTTGCCTGTGGCCTTGTTATCAAAGATCAAGGACACGTTTTGTCTTCTTTTTTGGGATATTGGGTTGAAGAGGGGAATGATGTCATTATATGGGCGGCAGTAGCTCAGTCTGTAGGGACTTGGGTTGGGAATCGGACGGTCGCTGGTTCAAGTCCCGGCACAGACCAAGTCTGGAAATTGGCCTCGTAGCTGGAGAGGACTTCCTGAGCACTGCTGAGGTGCCCTTGAGCTTCTTGACCCCCCTTAACCCCCCACACCAGCTCAGGAACGCCCACTGTGGGCAGCCCCCTCACTCTGAAACCTCTCCATTAGTGCATGTCCATAGAATCCTGTTTGTGTGTGTATTTCAGCCTATGTTTGTGTAGCATGTTAACTAGACAGAGTGTAAAAACTAATTTCCCCTCGCGGGATCAATAAAGTATACATTATTATCTACAGTATGCTCTAAAAACTAAAAACATGAGGACTCTCATATTTTCCGACCTTGTCCATGCTCTTCCAACTATCAGCAGCAGCTTGATGCACCACCGTGCAGAATCACTCCGGCCTCACAGCTTCTTAAATTAGGATGCTTCTTAGTCCTCTTTGACTGCATGCTCCATGCACACTTCACACACACAACGCACAAACCCGACAGTCCTGTTCATGCACTTTTTATCAGTTCTTTTGATTTCTCCAGCAGAGGTTAAGAGCGCACTGTTAGCCTCTGGCAGAGCGGCAGAGCAGGAGCTGAAGTCAGGACTTGTGTGATATATACTGAACATCTTTAGCCCACAGAGAGAGGACGATGTGATGTATTTAACCTCAGCTCTGTGAGGAGAGGAGGATTTACAGCTGAGGACGGACTCAGAGCGGAGCTGACGGCGCTCAGTCAGGTGAAGAATTGAACTGAGGTTGTGCTGAGGGCAAACAGACGGAGTGTGGGACATCAATCTGAAGGAGAAGCTGCACCTCCTCCTCTCCCTCCTCTGAGATCAAATACATTTCAGACCAACACTGATAACACACATCATCAGAAACACTTTGGACAAAAGCAAATCTCCTCGGCTGACCTGCGCAGGTCTGTATTTCTCACCTCTGACCGTGCGTTGCCATGTCGATAGCTCGTCGTACAGGTACGGGAGACCCCCCCTCTGTGACGCTCAGCACCTCCATGGACTTCCTCTCCGGTCTTCTCTTACCGTGACGGCTCAGCATGGGCGAATCCACACGCTTCCTGGGAGGGTCTGCTGAGCGAGCAATAAAGGACAAATAGAAATTAACTAATCAGAACACCAAACTACAAAAGTTATGCAAAAACTCTGATTTCTTTTGTCTGTTGTGTTCGGCTAAATTGTCACCATTGTGTTGCTGACATAAACTTTAAAAAAAGATGACATGACAGCTCTGCAATATTAAAGACAAAGCAGTTAGAGCTCCCCCTACTGACTGGCAGCAGAACATGTCATACACTCCATCTCCTCCATTTTAAAGGCGCAATAAGTAACTCTGTCACCTAGTGTTTAAAATGGGAATTCTAAACATTGTAGAGAGCTGTTCAAGTGCAAGTCAGTGTGCTGCCCTAAACACAAAGTTTAGCTGATTTTAGAAATGTAATTTGTTTTGCAGGTAATCTTTCTAACGCTGAATGACTTACTGACCTGATGGTTGAGAAAGTTCAAACAAACTGTGTGTAATCATGAGTTATCCATGAATATGTAATGCTCTAACCGTCTTAGTGTATTTTGTGGAGTTCAGTTCAAATTGCATACCGATCTCGTTGCGTGGCGGCAGGTTCTGGTCCTCGTGGCTCGGATATCTCTCTTTACGATCCAGCAGCAGGAAGTAGATCATCTTCTCCTGGTTGTCTCTGGAGAGAGAGGACGATGGGACAGTCGGTCATGAGCTGAGTGCACATCACTTTGTTTAAGAGCGGGAGCAGGTGAGATGCTCCATCATCAAATGACAAATTAAATAGCAAAATTCATCAAACTGACAACTTTTAACCCTTTCTCGTATTTTTCTCTGCCCCCATCGTCAGCTCTTTCCCCGTCCGCCCCTCTCAGGTTTTATCTCCTGTCGCCTCCCCCCCGCTCCTCCCCCTAACTCACTCCTCAGACAGCAGGTCTTTGGTCAGTTTGTCCTTGTCTCTGAAGCAGCCCAGAGAGTGCATGCTCTCCAGGACGTCGGGGTCGATCTCCTCGGCTGTAGCCAGCATCCTGATGGCCACCTTCCTGGGGACGGGCTGCTCGGGCTCCGGCTCGTTCTTTCCCGCTCTGCAACAAAACACACAAAGCAAACCGACAAGCTAACACTGGCACTGAGATTTATCAGCACAAAGACTGAGATCGAACAGCTGGAAAGCGATGAAACTCCATTAACAGCTCACTCTCCTCTGAGAGGCTCACAACACACACATGAAAAACTATTTTTAATGATTGTACTATTATCCTACATATCTCTTTAATAATCTCACTTAATGTGGTCATGCTTTCAGAGGTTCAACACAGACAGAAACACTGTGTACTTACAGGTACCATGTATGCTTCTGGATCTGGTCCAACTGTAATAGAAAAAAAGAGGACAAGAACAATTTTAATGATTCGTCTTTCAGTGAAAGAATAGGAACAGTTATGTCTACATGTGAAGTCTGATGCTGTGCTCTCAGATGGAAACAGTGAGGTGTTGGTTGGGAAGATGAACTGCAGCAGCTCATAGTGTCATTTAATCAGCAACACTTCAACCAACTACAGCACAGTTATGTTTTCTATGTAAATCGTCAAGAGCCTCTGCTGGGAATGTTTTTTCATCTGCAGGTGAGTTCAGGTCAGAGCTGTAAAAATGATAAATGAGCAGTGATGTCATGCAATGTGAAGGTGGTGATTGGCTGGTTAAGGCAACTTGACTGACCCTCTTTACAAGCTGTAATCACTGAGCTGAAACATGAAGAAGATATGATTCACTCATGCAGCTGTTCTTTTAAAGTTCAAATAACTGCAGACAAAACTAAAAAAAAACAAGTAACAGCACATCATCTAAATGTAGCCTCTGTCCTTTCTCTTTTCTACGTTTCTATTCTGAGACCAAACTAATCCTTGGCAAGAGATGAAAAGATTTTATGCAGAGTGAAGAAGCTGAAGGGGCCAGTCACGGTGCAATTCTGCTTAATTTAGCCCGAGCAGTCCCTCAGGCAGCAGACTGTACAGATGCAAACAGAGCACGAGTCGACTCATGCAGGATCTGGGCTCGTTTCCGTTCTGCAGCAGGGCTGCTCCATCGGTCTGGAAGGTGAGGTGAGGTCAGTAACATGACTCACCGTGAGCCTCTTGCCGGCGTCCACTTCGATCATCCCGCGCAGAAGGTTCTGACAGTCCGGAGGGATGAAGTGGGGCATGTGGAAAACTCCCAGCTTCACCTTCTCCAGAAGATTCCTCAGGTTGTCGTCGTCGAAAGGCAGAGCGCCCTGAGAGAAGGAAACCTCAGAGTTAGTGTTTGTTTCGCTTTATTTACAGGGACATGTAACTGAATGTTTCCTGAGTTTTTAGGATATTCAAACAGTAAAAAACAGATTAAAGAGTCAAAATGAAAACAGAAAGAAGAACAATCATCTTCCAACAGAAAAGAGAAGTAAGTATGGGATAAAGGGGAAAGCGTTCTGGGGCCCACCGAGGTTAGAAAAAAAAAAAAACATGGTCCATCTGAATTTGAGGCGACAATGACAACATTTTATTTAACACCTTCATACTCACCATGACGTCTTAAAGCAACAAAAAACACATTTTATTTATTGTTGCTTCAGTAAGATGTAACCTTTTTAAAAATGCAAACCTCCTCTTCTTAAAATGATTTGAGCGGGCCCAGTGAACTTCACTGTTTATCAGTTCTATCGTAATGAGATTGGTCACTCCAGAAACCTGCACAAAGTCAGGACGCCAGAAGAGAAAGAAAAAGAAAAGGAGGGAGCTGGCTCGGGCGATTGACCCCAACAAGAACTTGTTAAACTTATTTCAGTCAGCTTTAAAGACTGATTGGAGGGCCTGATTCACACAATTGAGTAGGAGGTCATGGGAGTCATTAGGGCTCCATTTGGGAGCCATGAAAATCCAGATTTTATCCTGGACAGTCGGTGTTTAGAGATTTGAAACAGGTCAACAATGAAAACATCTGTCGGTCAGCAGATCACTGAGCACGCTGACATCGTTCTGTTGAGTCGGCCTGTCAGGTGTTCACTCAGAGATAATCTGGATTTGACAGAGAGGTAAGATATCAGTCATCAGAGTCGGTGATGATGAAGCAGTTTGTGTTGCGGCTCGCTCGGCCTCAGCTCTGCAGCTGGTGAGCGCGCTCAGTGACGTGATGACTGATGCAGTTTCTCCTCTTTGGAGGCGAGTGCAGGACGGAGCCAGATGGCCGCTGACACTGCGTGTGTAATGAAAAGAAGACGAGCGGAGAGATCTATCTTCACATGATGACTGTGTTATGTGCTCCATCTTAATAAAGAGGAGGTGTGTGCTCGCTGTTCACCAACAAACTGGGGTTTAACTTCTTGGCTGACGTCTCGCCTGTCTCTGTCACGGTATGAAGTGCTGACATGAGAGGCTTTTGTTATGTGATCTGCATTTCATTTTAGTGTTTCTCACTCTGTGACTGATCACGTTAATAATGAATTCAAATCCCGTAAGGGAAATCTCTAAAGCAGAAAAGAAGCAGATTTTTGTGAAAACACAAATGAGCTGTGGTTTAAATGTTTGTCCTGAACGGTGTTCTCTGAGTTGTATCCCTCTTGAGAGGAAATGTTAGCTAGCATGATAAAAAGATCCTGATAATGATGATAGACTAGCTGCATGGTGGTACAGTGGTTAGCACTGTTGCCTCACAGCGAGGAGGTTCTTAGTTTGAATCCCGGTCTGACAGGAGCCTCTCTGTGTGGAGTCTGCATGTTCTTCTCGTGTGTGCCTGTGTGGGTTCTCTCTGGGTACTCCGGCTTCCTCCCACAGTCCAAAGACATGCTCGTGGGAGCCATTTTTAGGAGTTATGAGGTGTAAGAGAAGAATTGCTCTAGCAGGTTTCACCTTTGGGTTCAGATCATAGGTAGGAACTTTCAGGTGTCAGGTGCTGCTACGGTTCATTTCTTGCATATGAAATTGTATGAAGCTCACTGTGGGATGAGAAATAAATCTTCCACAAATGAAGATATTGGACTGTTTTATTTCACAAGATGTTCAGGAGTGAAGCTAAGACGAGTCAATAAAATCATTAGCCCGTCGACGTAGCCACTCAGTGGCTTTACGTTTAGGCTTAGCCGGTTAAACGCTGGCTATTATTATTAATGTTATTTAGCAGCCTATATATCCATATGTTGAGTCATACTGACGTTTGTAAAAATAGTCCGGTCCCCACGAGGTCTCGTGAACAAATCCGTCTCCTGACCCACGACGAGTTTGACACCCCGGCGTTAGATGAGAGAGGTGGTGAGTAAAGGGGTGGAGCTGTTTTTAAATGTTTTATTGGTACACAATGTGTTTCCAGCAGCCCATCTTCTATTCAGTCTCGCCTCGTGTTAAAAACAAAACAAAGACATGAGTACTTCAAGAGGCAGGTCGGTCCGTGAGGTCACAGCGTCCTCTCTTCACGGAGACGTAAGGGAAGCGTCTTTAAACGCACGTATCGGACAGTTTGACGCGACCTTCAGTTCTGTTAAAAAGTTTGCGTTCCACCTTCAATTCCCAGAGCAGGTGCTGCTGTTTTTTTTATTTTGTGTTGATTCATTTCAGTGACCTCAGAGAGTTCATTCAGCAGAAAGATTCGCCTCAGGAAAGAATCAACTTCTCTCTCCTCTGCAGCGCTGCATCGAGTCAGAGGAGGCGAAGGCTTTTCACTCCTCAGCTATTTTTTAATTAAAAGACGGACAAAAACAGTTTCAGGGGAAACGTTTAAACAGAAACAGTCCATTATCAGGAAACTTTCACCACTTTAAATGTTTAACTTTTGACTTTCCTGAATAAAATAAGGATAACGTCATGTGTCGATGGACGGCGTTTCCTCCGCTAGCAGCGCCCCTTTTTCAACACAATACACAATACCCAGTGCTGGTAGCGTTCAGCGTCCTGAGCGCTTTAACGCCCTCACAGCGCTCTCTGTTTAAAATAGTTCACCTCTTGAATACAACAACGCTCGTCAATGCCACTTCTCCCTCATCGACAAATCAGAATCAAGACGGGGCGTGACTTCTAACATCAGGCGTTGTCAACAACAATGGCGGAGGAGACGCTAATCTGCCTCGTCTTTTGGAGGGAACGATGTAGAGCTGCTGATGATGTCAGGACACGACTCCTTTACATCGTCTTCATATTTTCTTGAATTTAATCAAAGATTAAACACACGGAGCTTTCTAAATGACACCTAACGGATATTATTGAGGGAAGCAGGAGTTAAGGTTCGTAACCTATAGCAACAGTGAGCGCTGGTGAGAAGCGCTCTAAAACAGAGGTTGTGGGCGCCGCCAGCGCAAAAAAAATGCTGTCCTTTTAAATTAAGGATTTAAAGAATGGGGAAAACAAAACATAAACAGGACGTGGAAAAAAGGCCGCACACTCCGAGTATTTGAGAGAAGAAATGTTTTTCAGAGTTTTAAGGGTTCAGTGTTGTTCACATGTTATTGATGTTTACGTTCTGCTCGTATGTGAAGTCTGTTTTAGTGTGTCCATAAACTTTTGGTTATAAGGTCGATTTATAGGCGTTGTCTCCGTGCAGCAGCAGCTGTCACTCACCACTAAAAGTGCAAACAGGATGACTCCACAGCTCCATGCATCTGCTTTCCTCCCGTCGTACTTCTCCCCCTGGAACACAGACAGAAATAAAAAATGAGAATCACATCATAAACTCCAGAAAAAGTGGCGGCAACATTCACACATTCGCACAACTGCAAATCACGCTGACTGCTCGGAGCTCTGGCACCAGACGTAATGGAAAAATTCTCCCGCATATGGATATTCCTGCAGTGTAGCATCAGCAATCTGCAGACTGCAGTGCAGGAGTTATCTCGGGATGAAGAGGTAGAATTTTCTTCTTCTTACTCCCTAATCTACCGCATGACAACTGGTCCACAGAGTGACATATGTACAGGGTAATATAACATATTATTATTATTATTATTATTATTATTATTATTATTATTATTATTATTATCATTATTAATCGCGAAGGTGCATACAAATAAATAGTACACATTTGCATAATTACAGCCCTGTTCTGTTCATGACATACACCCATATATCTAGCCTGTTCCTACATTTGTTTTGAGCTTTTGCAACTCTGAGGATACAAGATAAATAAGTCCAAATCTCGAGGAAACGACCAAAATGCATGGATGCATGTCCGCTTAGGGCTTCTATCATTTGGCCATGAAACTGGCAGTCAGTGCAGACCAGCTCTCTTTGTAAAGTCTGATATGATTTGATGCAATATTGATGAAAACAAGTTGATTACTTGATTGAAAAAGAGGAAATAAGCCACACATTTAGGAACAGGAATGAGAGGAAACATGGACAGATTTCTGAAAGAATCCTTCTTTTAAGTGAAGTGTATTTCATCCCTGTGGAGGATGGAGGACCGAAAGGCGAATGTGAGTGAGTGCAGGGAGGATGTAGGAGTGATGTAAGAGCCATTCAGTGCTCAGAGCTGCTTTTACTGTATGAAAGGCAGAAACCCGGAGAGCCGGAGTGAGAGAGCACTTACCCTGATAACCTCTGGGCAGGCGTAGTGCGGAGATCTGTAAGAGAGGCAAAGAGGCGGTTATGGACTCACACAAGTCTGCACACAACACTACACACACACTGGGAGGAAAACACAGCCGGCAGCCTCAACAGAGGGGTGCGTGACCAGGTGAATCTGAGGGCAACTTTCTCTCACAAAGCCATCTAAAGGAACTCAAACCACTTTACCCCCCCCTTTAAAAAAACATTTTACAAAAACTTTTACAGCCTGATTTGGATTATTTTCCTGTTAGCTAAGTGAGCATTACATAACGTGAAAAGGCCTCGATCCAAATTCATGTTCTGATGGCTCATCCTGTTGAATAACGTACGGCAACATCCAGCACAGATTCCCAAGGCTCTTAATTTAAAGGTTACTGCTTCAGAAAGGAGTAAACATAACATAAAGACATCTTACAACTGGAGCACAAACATCACTTCCTTGTGTTGTTAACTAGTTTTATTTTCTAACTTTTATGTAATAGTTAGTTTGTGTTTGAAAGCTGCTGACTGAATACATTTTAAAGCTATTTGTTCTATTCTTTTTGAGGCTAAAATACGTATTTATATGGCACACATTTGAAAAAATGTTTGTTCTGTATTTTTACCACTGCCAAATGGGGTTCCACAAGGTTCAGTACTGGGTCCTGTCTTGTTCACGTTTCATATTTTACTTTGCTGAATTAACGTGTTTGTTAACAGATTGACGGTTAACGCAGCTACATTTTTGATAAACTGTGCCCACCTCTGATATGTACACAACATGAGTACAAGACTAAACACATGCTATCAAGAGTGTGTCGTAGTATTCTAATGCCTTGTGTCCACCTGGTGGTTTTATTTGGGGAGGGGAGGATAGAAAAACGCTGGCTGTGCACTCTGGAGCGCTTTGATGAAGCTCTTGTGCTTAAAACAAAAGCGCTGAACTTGCGTCTTGTCTCTATGACAACGGCAGCTGTATGACTGACACTGCTCCGTTGCTTTTTACTGCATGTTTTATATTATATTTATAAAAGGATGATGTCGGTACAGGACAGGATCCGAAGTAGACAAAACTACGGGGACTATAATCGCATTGTCCAGTATGGCTGGTTGAAAGGAGCGCCAGTGACGTTCTGAAAAGCTGAAATACTTTCAACTAGAAGAGCTCGGAGCGGCTGAAAACAGAAGGCAGAGCGCTCTGAAAAAAAGATTCTGGGTGCTGTGCCTTTTCTCCGGGCGGCCGTCTGTTGCTGCAAACGCTCTCTCTCCTCATCGGGAACAATGAAAAAAAGAAGATCGCACTCAAAAAAAAGAGAGGTGGGCAAAGAGCCTGAGGCTTGTCACCAAGTTAGGACAAAACAAACAAACAGATAGTTAAATATTAAAAATAAATAAAGGTTGAACGATCATGTAAAAAATATATATACAGGTGAAAGCAGTGTGAGTTCATGGCAGGAGCTACAGTCATAAAGTTCACTAAAGCATGTGATTCCTTTCTTCTCAACATATCAGTAAGAGAGAGCAGAATTTCCCGCTCTGTGTGCTCGGCGTCTCTCTCTGAATAATCGACTTACGACAAACAACGCAGTCAAAGCACTCTGCTCTTCATCTGTGTGAATTAATCCAAACAAATGGAGCACAGAGAACGACTCTGCTAACAGGGATTCATACAAACCCTGTCATACACACACACACAGCGTAGAGTAAACACACACTCCATCACTGCCTGCATCATACTTAACTATGCTAATGTATGTACAAGCAGTCGATGTGAACTCGTCAAACACCGTGGTCTCAGAAAACACTAACTGAAATCTCATTAAAGCCGAGCATATGATGATCCTGCCTGCTGGAGGCGACATGTCACAGCTCGTCTCCGAGTGACATTTAATACATTTCATTAACGTCAGAAGAAGTGGAGGAGTTCTCTGACGTGTTACTCCCAGAGAAGTGTTCAACAGGACCCGTCAGAGCTTCTTCGTCAAAGAAAGTGTGTGCATCACTGAAGTGTGAAAAAGCAAACTGACAGATGGACACAGCTCTGATCACTTCACTCCAAACTGTAAAAATCGGCACATCTCTGGTTTCGCTCGTTTACAGGTCACCAGATTTCAGGCAGAAAGGTCAAACTGGGCTAAATATTAGCTTGATGAGGGCCCTTACAGGAACAGAAAGCTTTGGGATTACTCCAGAAGATTGTTGGAAAATAGACGATAAAGGCGACGTCTTAAAGCTTTGGGGAAGATGCGCCGGATGTTGATATTTTGTCGATGGTATAAACGTATATGACTGTAGGCAGAACATTTTGCTCAGCGCTAACACGTCCTCTCTCTGTTTCTTTGTGCGCTCCCTCTCTGAGCCGGAGGAGCCGAGCTTCATTTGTTCCACGTGAGCGACTCGGTGAAACACTTGTTGGCCTGCGGTTAACTCTGCTGAGTGGGACACGCTGAACCAGCAGAGTCCTGCAGAGCAAACACCAGGACCACTCAGGTCAGTATCAGTCACAGAATCTTACACAACACACGTGCATAGACTGTATAAAACATGGATGTAGTCTCAGTGAAGTCACCCAGCGGTGGAGTTATGAAGCCCAACGATGGCGGTCACCATTTGAAACGCTCTCTACACCTAACTTTTGATCAATCTAGTTACAGAAAAAAGGTGGAGCTGTGCTTAGGCCCAGTTAGTCCTGGAGCAGTGTGAGTGCAGGCCAGCGGGGGAATTGGGGGGGGGGGAATTAAGCTTAAGTTGAAGGACATGTTTGCCTAGCGTGAGTGTGTGACATGTGGAGAGGGATCTCTATGTCCTCTGCACTAATCTTAGACTCCTTTGTCAGCATTGCTAATTTTGCTGGCTAACATTGGACAACTTTATAGGATTAGAGATTGTTTGCACAGTTCTTTTTTTAATAGATGGACAAATAAATATAAAGCAGATAAAAAAGGGCAGAGGTTGTAAAAGGAAAGAAGTTCAACAGAAAATACAACGTATAAAATGTATAACCACGACCTACGTTTAGACAGGAATTAAAAAATCTACAAACTCGTCAGGATTAAATATCATCCCGTAATTCTGCTTCAGATTGCTCCTCGTGTGGTGATTTGTGTTTTGAATATTGTTGAGTTGAAGAGCCTTGGACTTGTGTTAGAAGTCATAACATGTACGTGTGTTTGCACATCGATGTTTTGAATCACTCACCCACAGCTGGTCTCCAGCAGACTGTCCCCGACCTGCAGAGACGCCATGCCAAAGTCCGCTATCCTGATGTTGTTCTTCTCGTCTAACAACAAGTTCTCAGGCTTCAAATCTCTGTGGCTGGAAAAGGGCAGAAAACACAGGAAAAAAGATTAAAATGTGGATCAAATGTTGTCTTTATCACTCAGAGAGCCGTGTGTGGAGAGTCATGATGGAGTCGTTGTTTGCTGTCAGACAAAGGTCGTGACAGATCTGCTTTAGAACTACACCTCGAGGGGGGAAGAGGTGGGAGAGAAGCCCGAAGAAGGGAGCTCAGAGTCAAGCGGAGGCCCGGCTGTCTCCCCCTCTCCTCTCCTCTGGTTCTCAACAGTCTTCAAAGTCCAAACCTCCAGGGCGGAAGACGGGGGAGAGGTGAGAGTGAAGGCCGAAGAGTTGAGCTGAGAGTCGGACAGAGCCCGGCTGTCTCCCCCTCACCCCTCCTCTCCTCTCCTCTGGTTCTCAGAGAGTCCAAACCTCCAGGACTTGTGTAAATCAGTGTAGTGATACAACAGAAAACTCAAAGTACTTGGTCTTTTTCGATTCTCTGATTTTTTTTTTAATTTTCAAAATCCAAAACAAAAAACGCCAACCAGAATTTACATTTTTAGACACTTCAAATCCATTATTACCCCTTTACCTTTTCTGAAGATTATTTCCTTTTTTAATATAGATGGAAATGGAAATAACAGGAGCAGAATGAGGGGGAACTACCTTTGGTAAAATAATAACGGCCAATCCAGCTGTACTTTATTTTCAGCCTTTAATAATCTGCGTTTTATTTTCTTAATTTATGTGAAGAACATAAAACGCAATGTGAAGCTAAAAACCTCCAAAGACTAAAAAGCTTTTTAAAGCAACAACTCTATTTTCTTTAAGCTCAGTCCTCCGTCTACTCAATCTTCTCCCTTCTTTTCTTTCCGCTGCTTATTTCGACTGGGGTTCGTCTCTCTGATAAGCATTTGATTTAGTTCTTTATTTGTCACTCGTTTTTTTCTACTTAAGTTTTAAAGGATTTTTACTCTTAAATCTTGATTTCAAAATAAAAGCTTGATGTCTTTTTGGGACTAACACGAGGTGATATCACAGTCTTTCAATGTTCAGGTTTCTTTCAGGTCGTGGTTGTTGTTACACGCGACCTTTGATCTACAAATCCTTGAAGACGTTAAACATACAGTCTCTCTCTTTGTCTCTTCTTATCTTCATCCGTCAGCGTCCTCTTCCTCTCAGCCTTTTTATCAAACAATACAGAACATCTGTACACTTGTAGCTAGTTGGATTTTATGATTCATCCTCTGGAGGTGTTGGGGAAGAAACAGGAAACTATAAATCTTAAAATAACATTCACACCTGTCGTACTGATTCTGTGGTAAAGGTTAATCTAACAGGTGTGAATGAGGTCACCTCTTGTGCTCTAATATGGAAATGACTCCAGAAGATAAGATCCTGACTCCGGTTGTGGATCTCTGCTGTCCGTACAGGAAACACAGCTCAGAATAATCTGCTCCTCCAAAGACAAACACTCGACGCTCAGAGTCAGAGCTTCTTTGATCTGCATTTGCTCCTAGATACACACTCTCTTTTCAGTGGAGGAACTGAAGGTGCTCACGGAGATGAAAAGAGATCAAGAGGAGCCGGACCCTCTACAGTTGTCACCCTCCCCCCCCCCCCCCCCGGCTTCAGCTGACAGAGAGAAGAGGCTGAAGAGGAGACAAAATAATCCAAGCCGAGCAACACTTCAGTGGAAGTGTTCGCTTCGCAGAAAAAAAACTCCTAAAGATAAGACGGGTTAAAGCCTTTTATTTTTGTGATTTATTCATTTACACTGTGGAGGTTGAACCTTCATCTGGTTTGCGTTAAGAACGTTAAGAAGGCGATGACAGGCCGCTGAAGACTGAAAATGTTTTTAGGGGAGGACATTAATGGGGGCGGCAGCAGTCTGTAGGGCCTTGGGTTGGGAATCAGAGGGACCCCGGTTCAAGTCCCGCATGGACCAAGTCCGGAAAACGGTCTGGTAGCTGGAGGTGCATCTGTTCATCTGCCCAATGAAACCTACAGATTCAACCTGATGAAAAAAAGGCCCCGCCCCCTTCTTTTCCCCCCTCCGTTTCCTGAGCATGAGAGCAAACTTACCATATGGAGTGGCTGTGGCAGAAGTCCAGCGCTGAGATGATCTGTCTGAAGAACTTTCTGGCCTCTTTAGGCGTTAACCGTCCTTTTTTCACCAGGTAGTCGAACAGCTCGCCGCCGGACACATGCTCCAGCACCAGGTACCTGCACAGGACGAGAGGAGAAACAGGTAAGACATCACCTCTTACGTGTTGAAATTCTACAAAAAAAATGAAACTAGTTTTTTGCTCTAGTGCTGCCATTTAAAAAAAATAATAATAATCAAAGCAGTTCAGCATTTTCAGAGCTCAAACGTCCCGAGAGCACGAACACGGCAAGCGTCAGTGTTTTTGTTACTTCTTCCAATCACCAATCAAAATCAAGGAGGGGCGGGATTTCTGACATCAGCTTTGTCAACAACAATGGCGCAGGAGAAACTGATCTGACTCGTCTTTTGGAGGGAACAGTTTTCAGATCGAAAGCTTCTGTTAAAGTCAGGACACTGGACTCTTTGTGATTGTTTTCATGATTTCTTGGGGATATTTCCTTGATTTCCCCATATGCAGGGCTATAATCCTCAAAGTGGACTGGCAGGGTTCAAATCCGACCTGTGGCTCTGGTTCTGAGTCCTGACTCCACCCACTGTCCTGTCTCTGACATAAAGGCCTAAAAAGCCTAAAAATATGGGGAGCTGGTGGTGCAGTGGTTAGTGTGCGTGCCCCATGTATGGAGGCTGTGGTCCTCCAAGCGGGCGGCCCAGGTTCAAGTCCCGCACGTTGCTTCTTTCCTGCATGACATTCCCCACTCTCTCTCTCCCTGATTTCCAACTCTATCCACTGTCCTATCTCTCCACAAAAAGCCCAAAAATAAATCCTGCAGAGATAAACAGAATCTATCTCTGCAGGGATTCTCTCTGTAAAGCTGTCGAGTAACAATCTGAGTCTGCCGGTGACAAAAACAACTTCTACTGGATGTCATTTGATCCGTTGATATGTTTCATCTCTTCTAAAGCGCCGGCTGAAGCAGTCTGTTCATCAGCCTGATCTCTGAGTCCACACACGATGTAAACATCCTTAGATCCTCATTTGAATTCCCCCCCCGACATCGAGGAGGCATTAATGAAGTAATGGAGTCATAAACTTCAGCGTGTTTGTTGATGACATGTTGAAATTAGCGCAGTACAACGATGCATGGAGTAAAGCCCCTCGCTCTCTTTGTGCGTCTGTGATTTAGAATGTTTTATCTCTGCCCTCGCTTCATTCGTCTCCACGATGTCGTCGATCCTCGCCGCGCGTGCAGAGCGAGCTCCTCCTGTAGGCCGCCTCCCCCACAGCCTGATTTATTAGCAGATTAAGAGATCCGCTCGAGCGTTCACTTGTCAGAGCGATTTAAATTAGAAACGTGTTCGCTCCTGATTTGTGAGTGGGACATTTCCCTGCCGCAAACCGTTTGCATCCACGATGACCAACGGCCGCTGTCCCCGCAACATTAAGAAAACAAATTCCTGCTCTGTTTGACGGCGGCGCCTTTATCAATTATTGAACAGCGCATTAAGCCGTGCCACTGGAGCAAAGCCGCCACATGCAGCAGATTAATGTATACAACTAAACAGGGATATACATTAAAGCTGCTCGCTCGCAGAGGGCGGAGAAGAGGAGGGGGCCGATAAAACATGACAAGCTTTAATAAAAGAGCTCACACCGCCGCACAGAGAGAGGGAGCTCGATGAGATGTTCGATTGTTCTGTTCTTTGGAAAGCCGGAAGAGCAAACACAACACCTGAGCTGATAGTTGTGTTCTAAAATCACAAAAGAAAAGAGACATCTCACACTGAAGACACACCTGAAGTTCACATCTGAACTGTATCACAGGCAGCAGAGCTTTAAGCAGCAGGGCTTTCACATTCCCAGGACTTTAAACTTTGATTTGATTCAGTCACCATGGCAACAAAAAATAAGTCAATAGCTGATTTCGGACCGCAGGAACATTTTCATAGTTCTAGGAACTGTTTGGAACGCTCCCCACTTATTTGTTATTTATTCCGCACCGCAGGAGCTCTGAACTATTTTAGTTCCTAGAATCCTGTTTAGAGGAACCTTTTTAGTTCCTGCTTCAGAGTAGGTACCATGGTGGTGCGAATGCAGGCAGAGAAAAAGTCCTCATGGTGTGTAGTTCTCAGGGAACTCCCTAGCGGATAGTTCCTCTTCAAAACGTCCCCAGAACTGTTTGGTATGAAAACACCTGTTGAGCACCCAGAAGTTGGAACTTGGAAGGTTTGGAAGTTTGATTGATCCTGATGTCTGCATATATGCACTTTTATACATGTATGAGCTCTAGGAGGGCGGGGGGAAGAAAAGGGGAAACCAGTTGTAATATATGATGTCATTTCTTTGTACATTTTTAAATAAAAAAATTGATCACAAAAAAATATATAATAATTGCAGACAAAGGGGCGCCGGTATCGTAGTGCTTAGTGAGCACTCCCCATGTACTGAGGCTCTGGTTCTTCAAGCGGGCGGCCCGGGTCTGAATCCGGCCTGTGGCTCCTTTCCCTACATGTCATTCCCCACTCTCTCTCTCTCTCTCTCTCTCTCTCTCTCTCCCGGTTTCTGAATCTATCCTGTCCTTTCTCTAAATAATGGCATAAAAAAAGCCCCAAAATGAAAAATTGCATACAAACTCCTACACACAGTCTGAATAGCACAAATATGTTGGTTTCCTAATAAGTACAGCGTGTCCTAACAGCATGGGGCGCAAGCGAGTTTCAACTGCTGTTAGTACAGCATGGTGTTAGACTGTGCAGGAGTCTGAATTTTGAGGGTTCCTTCCTCTCCTTAGCCCCTGATTTCTTAAAGCTTTAATTCTTCTTGATAATACTGATCATTAAAATAACGGAGAAAGTATCGTTTAAAAAGTATCTAACACTTCGATAACCTTATTGATATATATTAGTCTGAGGTCGACTTTGCATCTTCAAAAGTCACAAAAGGTTTCTCACACCGAGACAGAAAACAAGGACTAAAGTACTTACAGGTATTTCTTGTTTTCGTAGACGTCGTGCAGCTTTAAAACGTGGGGATGCTCGATGAGTTTCAGGATGGCGATCTCCCGCTCCACCTGCAGGAAAACACAAGACAGAGAAGATGAGTCACAGACCGGGACACAGAGCGGCCAGGCTGCCGTTAATGAGACTGAGATTACAGGGACCTGTTTAACTGGCTCAGACCAGAACCTGAAGGCTCGACCGTGTACAGATTCATTTATCACACCAGGTGGCTCCTGTGTTGATTCACAGACATGTCGTTAAGCACTGACACAAAAACAATCACTTTTTGTTTGCGTCCGGGGAGGCCATTTTTAGATTCAAGCAGGGGGCTCCAAGGAAAAAGGTCAGGGAGCTCTGGTATGGATGTTCAGGCTGAGGCACGTTTAGTTTCCTTGATATTAACACAAAATGAAACAACACCAGACTTGTATGACAACAAGTCACAGCTTCCTGTCATCAAACAGGGAAACATCCTGCTGCCTCGGTCCAGCAGCGGCTGCAGGTCGGTGTCATGAAGTGAAACCATCTCATGAGGAGTAAGATGTCTGGACGTACAGATGCTGCCTGTAGCCGTGTCACTGCTAACCTGCCTGCTGTGCTGGGGATTTACTGCCAGTTGGCACCTCAGCGGGCCGCGGGCTAAACTGAGTTCAGACCTCTGTGCACAAACTGCTGCTGCTGCACAGACACCATCCGTCACACAGACACTCAAACTGCAACTGTGAGCTCCTTTTTTTTTGTGTGGTTCATGTGGATGACGTCAACCAGCTGCAGAAAATCTGACTTAGAAACAAGCTTAACAAAAATACAGTCAGAAAACGTATCAGAAAAGATGCAGAGAGACACGTTTATACATTCTTAAAAGCATTCTTAAATTTGTTGGATTTCACTCTCCATATGTCTTTGGATCAACACCGCAGCTCTCTCTTTTACCCAGAAGCCACTGCAGCTTTTGTGTGGACTGAAAAGGACGCCGCTGGAATGGATTGTTCAATATAAAAACAAATTGGAGAAGCAACCTCGGTGTCGCCCATTGGTCTGTGGACTGATATTTTGAACGCTTAAGTTTGGCATTTTGAGGATGCCATGAAAACTACAGAATCACAAGGGGAGCAGTAAACGTCAAAGGTCTAATCAGTGAGATGTGTAGTGAGTGAGATGATAAAGTGACCTTCCTATATGATCAGACATTAAGGAAACATGCTGTGTTGAAGTGCTGGCTTCTCTGACAACAATGCAGCAGCCAGTATGTCCTCCTTCTTTACGATCAGTTTTGAGGCAACTCAGAGCAGAAACACCTATCACACCTTTAATATCTTCAAACAGGTGAGTTAACCGCCTTCAGTTAACATGAGAGAGAAATGAGCTACAGAGACCAGACCAGGCTGTCAAAATGTTTATTTAAAGGTTGATTCCCCCCCCTTATAGAGACAGGACAGTGGAGTCAGAAATTGGGGCGATGTGTGAAAGGTGACATATTTTGGATTTGAACCTAGGCCGCACGCTTGGAGGACTAGCCTCTGTACAAGGGGTCAAGACTAACCTCAAGGCTACCGGCGCCCCCATAGATGTTTATTTCTGCTGTAAAGTTGGACATTTTAACATGGGGCCCAATGGGGAGTGGCTCACTTATGGAGACAGCCTCTAGTGGCCATTTGAGGGACTGCAGTTGTTTTGACACATCTGCATTAACCTCATTTCTAACCTCTGGACGTTTGCCATCTTGTTCTTCACTTCTATTGGATGACCGGTTTATCACTTTGACGCCACCGATCAGAAAAGAGTCTTTGTTCAGAAAGCGAAACCCCCGTGAGTCCACTCCCATGCTCAAGGCTGTGAGACTCCTGATGTTTCCACCACAGAAGTCACTTCATCGATTTTCATTTGTGGGAAATGTCAGATCAGTTTCATCGTTTCGGCTGAGAGAATCGATGAAGGACACACTGTGCGAGTCGGGGAGAATCGTTAGCACAGGTAATCTAACTAATCCTCGGCTGATACTCGTATTGATTTCAGATTCTCGTCACTGCTGAACTTTAAAGCTGTGAAACACACAAACTGATCAGTCATCTGTCGGCCAGCACTCTGCTGCTCCTGCTGCTGCTCTACATGCCCCTCATGACTTTCTCCCTGCAGCTTTTTCATCAAACCATCCTGAGACTCTGAGTCATCCTCTGGCGTCGGTGTGACGCCTCTGAGGGGCCGGACGCCGAGACACGAGACAGCAGAAGAAGAAATGTTATTCCCATCAAAGTAGCCCGTCTTCAAAGGTGTGTCATGGCGAGTGATGGCGGCTGGCAGCAAATAAATAATAAAAGAAAGGTCTTTCATCTTTGGCCCGGCAGATTCCCAGAGCAGACTGTCACAGCTACTTCTCCCTCCATCTCTCTCATCCTCAAACTCTCCTCCCAACGCCGGAGTGGAAATCCTGACATCAGCTGCTGACACAAGGAGAATTTTGAGGAATAGTTTGGACTCATGAGCTCCGATAATTTATCGAGTTGATCTTGAATTGAAGTTGTTTGTTCTTTTAGAAAGCGGTGTTTTCCTTCTGATCACAGTGATGACACTGAAAAACAGCCGATCAGTGGTGGTCTTGATTTAAAATCCGGGGTCCGCCCAGTCTGAGACCGGGTAAAAATGCTTTAAATTACGAGGCAAGACGTTCAAAAAGAAAGAGAGGGGGGGGCGACTTGTGGGAAAGGACATGTCACATCCAAACCCAGGTCGCCCGCTTGGAGGACTACAGCTTCAGTACATACACCAACCACTGCTCCACAGGCACTTGCTATTTCACATCTTTTTTAAGGTGTTAAAGTGAAGTATCTTCTATTTTGTTCGTCAGAAACTTGATTTACTGTGCTGCTGCTGCTCGTCTCAGCCAGGAGAAAGAGAAGAACTCAGGTTACATTCATTTTTTTGGGATTAAAATGTCCTTGAAGTGGATGAAATCAGGCAGCAGGGGAAGGAACCAAATGCAGTAACTTGAGGCAGAATGTTCCAATTAATCTCTTTAAAATCACTTCCCTTGAACGATCTTTAAAAAGTGTTTCATTAATGTGAGCACGTTGTTTGACCTCCAGCCTCTGAGTCCATGTCACCACTCTGATGAAGTCCAGGTTAGCTAACCGCTAGTGCGCGACGTACTGGCCCTTTAACACGGCGGACCTTTGGGCCCCCAGGTGTTCACTTCACAGCCAGCAGGTGAACACGGTGACTCATGTCTGCGATGGATGCAGGTGCAGCTCATCTGCCCGTCCTCCTGCTAACACATGTAATTACACTCGTTTTTAACCTCCTCACATCAGTCAGACACTCGGGTGCACACGCACACTTTAGCATGGCAGGGCTAATTAAGCACATGTACAAGGTAAACAGACGTTCAGCCCCCCCGACCTTCACGCGTGAGCGGGGACGCTGACATTTATTAGGCTCAATTATGATCCATATGGTTGTTTAATGTGGGATGATGAAGTGTGTGTGAGTGAGCGAGGACAGGCTGGGGGAGGGGACGAGCGAACATGAGCTGTAACACAGACGCTCGCTCTTTTAAACTCCTCCAGCGTGTAGAACATGACGGCTTCGACTCACTGAGCTTTTACTCTACACACAGAGCTTTCTTGTCACACGGTCACCCCCGGTCCGATCCTGCAGGAGAACTGAACCCAGAGATCTTTTAGTCTCCCCAGCACCGGCCCGCTGGGTCGTGGTGGTGACTCTGATCTCTGCTGAATCCTGTCCTGCCCCGTACCGCCTCGATCATCTCAGGCTCATCCTCTCTGTTGAGACGAATTCACTGAATCATTTCCTGCTGTGTTGTCTTTCATGAAAGAGGTCTTAAAATATAAAAAATATAAGCCCTCTCTCTCGAGTTCAGTCGGCCAGTAAATCGAAAATGTATCTTTGTAAAACATGAATCTGTTCACAAAGACGACTACTTCTACAGCAGTTAATCAGTGAACTCCGTTAATGTTATGGTTTAAAGAGTGACCGTGAAAACCGGCGACTTTCAGCCTAATGCATCCCTGGTTGTCATGGTTACAGACATATATGACTGGTATTTTTGACATTCCCAAAAAAAAAAAGAAAAACCGAAACAAAGCAACATTTGTTAGGTCACTATCCGTCTTCAACACCTGTTGTTACTATGACAACCACAGACGCATTTTGCTAAAAAAAAAAAAAAAATCACCAGTTACATGTAACATGGTCACTTTTTAAACCGTAACACCGGTGTTGTCAAAAAACAACAAAAACATGGCTTTTAAAAGTGTCAATAGATTAAAGTTCTCAAGAGGGCCGTCATGAAAAATTCTAAATTAAAAATGTTTCTGTTCAAAATCTGCCAAATGTCTTTTCACCAACGTCTTCACTCGAGCGGCGCTCCGCCAGTGACTTGATGTAGTTCAGGCAGCATTTCAAAACAAAAGCAGGGAATTGACTGTGCGTAGAAAAACTGTGGGGGCTCCATTACATTGTGCTGGATTATATTCAAGAAGAAAAATATTTTTGAGGATTTCAGAACTTGACTGCTCCTGGTTTCAGTGCATGCAATAAAAGATTGGCTGCTTTAACTGCTCATTTATTTTCTTCTTCACGCTGCAGTTAGTCTTTTCTGGCACATCTAGTGGTGATAATAATTCAAGCCAAGTGGGAAGTCCGATAGCGGTGGAGGAGAGATGGTGAGTGGTCTGCAGCACGGACAGTGACTCAGACATTGCTGCACTTAAACGGCTTCGTTCGAGTGAGTCAATGTTGCGATGCACCTCTTCAACCCTGAGACTGACTCATTCATTCAGCAAAGAGCGAGGGATGAGCAGCACTAATCCAGAACACACTCCTTTCTATTCTCTCCGACAGCAGACAAACTGCTGTGAACACACACGCACGCGCACACACACACGCACGCACGCACGCACGCACGCACGCACGCACGCACGCACGCACGCACGCACGCACGCACGCACGCACGCACGCACGCACACACACACACACACACACACACACACACACAGACATTTTAAACATTCAGAGTCTGGACACTCTGTTCACCTTCTCATATAATTTTCTT